GTTCGAGCAGTGCCCCCTTCTCTTCCGTTGAACGCACGTTGGAGCGCTCGGACAGTCTCGCTTCAAATGTTCGGGCTCTCCACAGGTATGGCATCGCCTGGGGTCGAAGCGGTCTCACGTGCTCCTCTCTCCTTCTGGCATGGCTGCAGCTGCCCAGCTCGTCCTAACCTTCTGATTCGCAAGTCCGTCATCTAAATATAGCAGCCGCTGAGCGTGCTCCGTCCGCTTCGCGACGCCGTACACTTCTTTCAGGGTCACAACAGTGCCAATCCCATACACTGCCGTACATACGACATGTCTCAATTCTTCGTCAAATCCCCGTACAAATTTCTGCACCAGCAGGCATTCGTCGTGCAACCTTCTGCCAATTCTTGCAGCCGATTGAAGTAGGACAGTAGCAACTCCACCTTTCTCCTGCGGAACTCTTTGAATTCTTCCAAGCGAGCCTTCGTTTGCCCGACGAATTCTCTCTTCAGCAGCTGTAAAAATCGGTCGGTCGGGTTCTTAAATGAGCCCGTGTGCCGATTCCTCTAGCACTTCGCTCCGCACCATCCGGTAAAACGTCTCTGCTTCTCCCGCCAAGGTCACGACCATCTTGCGGAAGAACTCTTGCGGGTCAAATCCGTCCCACTCCCAGCAGTACTGGGCTGTCTCTAGTTGCATAACATAGTTCTTCAACGTCGGCCCTACGCTTGGAATCCAAGCATAGTTCCCGGTGTACCGGCCTGCCACTTCTACTTTCGGCAGCGATGCGGTTCTCCATCGGCGTCCTGGCTGTAGGCCTTCGTCGTCTTCTCCATATATTCAGATAGCGGCCTGGCTAGCTACTAGCTCTTGCTGCGCTCGCGGGCTGGGTCGGATGTTTCGGCCTTTGTTACCCCACTGGCGCGGCGTCGTCGTGATGTTCTCCCTCATTCCCGGCATAGTCAGCAGCGATTCTCTGTTGCTCCGGGCGTTCCATCTGTCTTGCGCTTCTCGGACCCACTTAGCGTCTGGCGGCACGGTCCCTGGGTCTGATGCTGGTGTTCGCTTAACCCCGCCTTCTCGCCTAGTATCATTCCATTCACGCTGATGTGGCGTCCGATAAGTCGGCGAATTGCTGCGTCTAGATGTGGGCTCACTCCTTTCCTCGGACCTTATGCTACTTGCGTGCGCGCCATCCTATCGTTTCTTGGGTCGTCTCCATCGTTCGTCTTGGGTAGCTGAAACCAGATCTTAGCTGTATGTTATCACTCATACCTTGCTTGCTTGTAAAAATGTCTGAGTAACGTACGGCATTGGTTCGGCTGGCTGACGGTTGCTTGAACTGGCTTCCCTAGCTAGGATAGAAAACGCCCTTTAGCTAATTGAGACAAACAAGCAAGTAGTTGGCGCATGGCCCACTGCTCTCCTAAGGGCGTATCTTAGTTCGGGTCATAAGGCCACTTTGGGTCATGCGGATCCGCATGACCCAAACTACTGAAAATGCCACCTTGGGTCATCCGATCTCCTACAACCCTAAGAGTGTCGCGCGGCGTCGCTATGCAAAATCACCTGCCAAAGACCAGTCACCTCCAATGGCTGGAAGCCAGAACAGTTTGCAAGATCATGAGCGACACCCATGCAAAACCACGCGACACCCACCGAAAAAACTCAATCGTCAAAATTCCCGGCGTGAATCCCCAAATGTTGACACATCGAGGGTCACTAGGGTCAGTTTGCCGAGTGGTTGGGTGCAGAGGTGTAGGACATGGGACATTGCCGACTTGTAACAATCGAGTGACGAGCGTATAAAAGATGGCAGTAAAACCAGAATCGTGCAACCAGGTGATTGGTTGGGGGTGGGTCATGCACGTCAGTTGGCCAACACCTACACATTGACCCAAAGATGTGGCCGCGCACGGCTAGGCAGCCCACTTCGGGTCATGCGCAATATACGCATGACCCAAACAGTAGCATGAATAGTGTTCATGACCCGAACTGAGTTACGCCCTAAGTACAATCCTAGCACTTACCGTTGTCTCTGCTGCCATTGATACTTTTCGGATGCTTCCCGCTTAGGATGGGTAGCCCTAGGTTCGGTTCCCGCCTTGCCTTTGTTCTCACTACTACTTTCCTCCTATACTCTGTCACACAATCATATCAAGGTTCCATATATCCTATTGCCTCTACTTCTGCCTTTATTAATTATGTGACACAGGCCATTATGATTCCATTTGGGTCGGACGGAATCGTAGGTTCGGTAAGAATTTCATGGGCTGATCACCCTGACGGACATTAAAGAACCCTAACGTACGTGATCAGGAAGGCATGACTCACCTTCCTGATCTCGTCCATTTTGTTCTTAGTTGCGCTGGCGAACACCGCCTAGTAGTACTTCCAGCTCGTTTCATGCGCCTCATTACTTCGTAGCGACGGGTTCTGTAACGTTTCCACTACTAGAAAGGGCATTTACCCATTTATAAATAGGTTCTAGTACAAAACAGAGAGTAGTAGCTCCTGGAAATGACTAAGTCTGGAGAGTGCTAACAAACTGTGGAAGTTAACTTGAGAGAGAGACAATCTTTTCCCAACTTGGGAAAGGAATGGAGAATGAGCTTGGAAGGCTCAGTCCCCTTCCTACTACCCCTTGGGGTGCAGCCACTCTCCCCATGGCAAGGAGGGGTGCACCTCCATGGGCTTTGCCCATGTGACAATGGTAGATTCTTTTATCCAATGACATAGCACAAAGGAATGGAACAAATATGATGTGTATGCAAAGTGCTATCCAAACCTGTCATATTACAATTGGTTGTGATTTCACCGTTCGGCGGAAACTTGTCGAATCACACATTTTAGGGCATTTCTGATTGGCTACGTGAGTGGTTTTTTGTTTGGTTGAGAATCAACCAATACCAACCAATCCCGTAGGTTCTATCAACAATTGCACAGCATTGCTTCTGATTGGTTGGTTTTCCAACCAAGTCAATTCCAACCCAAGTCTCGCTTCCATTCAATTTTCAACCAATCATGTTTCCCCATGTTTCCCCCTCACAGCTGGTTCGACGTATCGAGACCAGGTGGGTGGGTCGAGATGTTACTGGTCCATAGTCAGCCGTTTTTTTTTTTTTTTTTTTTTTTTTTTTTTTTTTTTTTTTTTGCACGCACGGTGCCGTTCACGAGCCTAGCTCCCTCGCTATGACGGACGACTTCCCAATCCAACGGCTCTCGTACCATCTGCTCGCGAGAATCCTCCATCTAGCTCCTGCACCCAGTAGGTTCCAGCACGTGCTAGTGTGCAAGAAGTGGCGCGACGTGGCGTATCGCGCGCATTATGAAGTTCAGATGCGCGCCGACCGTCGTATGGACGCGCGTCGACTGCTTGTCAGAATGTTATCTTATGCTCTAGCCTGTAGTGGGGTGCTCTATAGCGAGTACAACCCTTCTAGGGTTTGCTATTTGTATCCTCATTCTTGCTAGTGCAATCCCCCTTCTGCTCTTCTTTCTTCTAAACTTTAACATGCTATCAGAGCAGGTCGATCCCCTTGGATCGATCCTGTGGGTGGGCTCACCACCTTGTTGCTTCCGCTGCAACTACCTTTCACTACTCGCTGAGCCGCACGCCCCCTGGCGTGCGGCACTTTTTCTTCCCGCCGTGCGCCCCGAGGCGCGCGGCGGTTTTCTGCCCGCCGTGCGCCCCGAGGCGCGCGGCGGTTCTCTGCCCGCTGTGCGCCCCGAGGCGCGCGGCGGGCTTATGCCCCGTCGTTCGCCGCGTCGCCCTCTGGTGGCGTCGCGACGGGCGACGGGGACCCGTCGCGACGGGCGACGGGGACCCGTCGCGGCGCACCGCCCCCGGCCCCGGCCCCGTCCCCGCCTGCGGCCCCGGCCCCGTCCCCGCCTGCGGCCCCGGCCCCGTCCCCGCCTGCTGCCCCGTCGCGCTGCCCAGGGGAGCCGCGCGCGGCCCCTGCTGCCCCGTCGCGCGGCCCCTGCTGCCCTGTCCCGGACCTGCCCCGGCCCCGACCTGCCCCGGCCCCGACCTGCCTCGGCCCAACTCCCGTCGCCCGTCGCGGCGCCCTGGGGGGGGTGGGGGGCCGCGCGTTGCCCCCCCCCCCCCTACCTCCCTACCCTGTTTTTAGGGTTTGGGGGGTGGCGGTTGGGGGGTGGCGGGTGTGTGGCGTCGCCTGCTCCTCCTCCTCCTTCGTCTCCCACTGCTGCAGCTAACGCTGAGGGGGGGTGGACGTGTTGGAGCCGGTGGAGTGGTACTAAGGGGGGGTGAAGGGGGAGTGGAGCTAGCGGTGTAGCAGCGGGTATGTGCCAGGGGGGAGTGGGATAGTTTGGGGAAGCTGAATGGAGGTTGCCGTCGTGTCGCCAGCAGCACCTGTATTCCGGGGACTTCGTCCGGTAGCCCAGTCGTAGCCAGCTGTGCCAGCCGCCCGTGGGTCCGTTGCTCGTCTGCCGCTACTTTAGCCGCGGGGCCTGTTACTCCTGTAGTCCGGGCGCTTCGTCCGGTAGCCGCTGTGCCAGTCTGCCTCCTGTTGCCCGTGTGTCTGCAGCTTCAGCCGTCGCCTCCTATCTCCTCTCCTCTCACTCTCTCTCCTCCTCCTCACTTGCCCGTTGTGACTACCACTAGCTTTGCTCATAATTGTGAACTTAAACTATTGCTTCTTGAACTTGTGCTCAGAATGTGTGGTGACATTGTGATCCACCCTGAGCTTGTACTCCCTTGCTTACTCTGCTGATTACACCCCACTTTGGCTATGGGGGTGTGTCAGAATGTTATCTTATGCTCTAGCCTGTAGTGGGGTGCTCTATAGCGAGTACAACCCTTCTAGGGTTTGCTATTTGTATCCTCATTCTTGCTAGTGCAATCCCCCTTCTGCTCTTCTTTCTTCTAAACTTTAACACTGCTCGCCAAGCTTTTGGCATTCCCGAGGCTCACAGAACTCATCCTGTCGGATCGTAGCCTCACGTCTATTCTTGAGGGTTTCCTCTCCGCCCTGGGCGCCACGCTTCCTGAGCTGATCAAGTTCCACTTTCGAACCATGTTCGATACCGTCATGCGCATCGAGTGCTTCATGGAGGAAGGCCTTTCGCGCCTCTTCCAGGGATGTACGTGCCTCGAGGACCTCAATTTGGAGCGTCTGCCGGCTCTGCCCACCGTTCCCGCCGCCATCGGCGCCCTCGCGCGCCTCACCCACCTGCACCTCGCGGCGCACGTGCACCGCCTCCCAGGCGCCTTCACGTGCTTGCGCGCGCTACACACGTGCGTGCTGCACTTGCCCGGCCTGAAACAGCTGCCTCCGGGCTTCGGCAGCTTGACGTGTCTCCTATCCTTGCACCTCGATGCGTGTCAATCTCTCACTTCACTCCCGGAATTGTTTGGGGAGCTTGCGAATCTAGACCGCCTTTCCATCAGCAGATGCAGCAGGTTTTTCCTGCCAGGTTCCTTCCCTGCCCTGGCATCGCTCAAGGAGTTGAAGGTGAAGCGTTGCGAAGCGCTCTCCCCGCTCCCAGGAGATTTCGGGCAGCTTCAAGTGCTGGAAAGCCTGGTTCTGGAGGAGGTGGGTAGGATCACAGGCCTTCCTGAATCTGTGGGGCAATTGCAGCGCCTGCACTCCCTTTCCATCGACGACTGCCACGACCTCTCGTCGCTGCCCACCTCCCTGCCCCACCTGTCATCACTCACCCATCTGCACCTCAACGCCCCCGACCTTTTGCTGCTGCCAGATGGCATCGGCCGCCCTTACGCCTCCGAGCATTCAGCGTGTTAGCCGGCAGCTTCACACACGTGCCATACTCGTTAACCCTCACCACGGCCCTGCAACATCTCGCGTTTCACAGTCTGCACTTGCTCACGGCTCTTCCTCGCGACTTGGGAAACCTCTGCAGCCTGTGGGCGCTCGAGATTGTGGAGTGCAGGGCCCGCCTCGATGTGCCTGCTGTCGTCCCTCACACACCTGACAATGAGTGAATGCCCCGCACTGGCAACGCTGCCACATGCCATGGGCCTTGGCCTGCATAGCCTGCGAGAGCTCACTCTCAAGTGCAAGAACCTCACCCACCTGCCTCCGTCCTTCTTCCGGCTGACCGCGCTTGAACAACTAAGCATCGTTCACCTGGCGCGCGTGAAAGGGCCCCTTCCATGCTGCTTCAGCTGCTTCACATGCCTGAGGGAGCTCTCTCTCGTTGCCATGTCGCACCTCACGGCCCTCCTGGCGTTGCTGGCTGCCCTCGCCCCCACGCTTACCAGCCTCCATGTGGCGTGCTGCAGTGAGTTGAAGGTCGTGGCGGAGGAGCTCAGCCAGCTGACCATGCTTCACACGCTCACCCTCACGTGTCTGGATAACCTGAAATAGCTCCCGCGATTGCTGCTTGAGCTGCCTCGGCTGCGGGAAGTAGTGGTGGATAAGTGCAGTGAATTGGAAGAGACCATTAGCGGTGTATCTTGGTTGGCAACATCTGCAGTAGCCGCAGCAGCAGTGGTGGCAACAGCTATACGGAGTGGAGTGCAGTGTCTACACTGCTTTTATCATCAAGCTCCCAACTAGTAGATTCTCCACTGTGTAGTATGCTATCTTGAGCAGGCATTCAGATTGGCTCCCATGATTTGATTTATGCAGGTCCTTTCCTTACCCCATCCCTCATCTCCTACTCCCTGCTGCCTTGTTCTGCCTGCTACATTCCCTCCATGCCCCTCTCCTCCCCACACCTCTTCACCCTCCATGATCCTGTCATTCCCTCCCCGTACGTACCTCTGCTCCACTTCTCATCCATCTGTGTTCCCATTAACTCCCCTTCTTCGCTTTCCCACGCGCCGAGCCAATCCAATGCTCGAGACTCAGACCCTGCAAGTAATACCCCGCAGCTAGGAACAACGGGGCTCGTGTCGGATTGCATGGTCTACGAGCGCGGCTTGGCTCGTAACATTACTGCATTGTGTAATGCGTTCTTTGTCATGCTTGTAACACTACTGCATTGTGTAACGCGTTCCTAGTCATGCTCGTAACGTTACTGCATTGTGTAACGCGTTCCTAGTCATGCTCGTAACGTTACTGCATTGTGTAACGTGTTCTTTTTCATGCTCGTAACGTTACGGCATTGTGCAACATGTTCTTCGTCATGCTCGTAACGATACTGCATTGTGCAACGTGTTCTTCGTCATGCTCGTAATGCTACTGCATTGTGTAACGTCTTCCTAGTCATTCTTGTAACGTTACTACATTGTGTAATGTGTTCTTCCTCATTATCGTAACGTTACTGCATTGTGGATTGTGTTCTCCGTCATGCTCCTAATGTTACTGCATTGTGTAACGTGTTCTTCGTCACGCTCGTAACGCTATTGCATTGTGTAACATGTTCCTAGTCATGCTCGTAACGTTACTGTATTGTTTAACGTGTTCTTTGTCATGCTCGTAACGCTACTACATTGTGTAACGTGTTCCTAGTCATGCTCGTAACGTTACTGCATTGTGTAACTTGTTCCTAGTCATGCTCGTAACATTACTGCATCGTGTAACGTGTTCCTAGTCATGCTCGTAACGTTACTATATTGTGTAACGTGTTCCTAGTCATGCTCGTAACGTTACTGCATCGTGTAACATGTTCTTCGTCATGCTCGTAACGCTACTGCATTGTGTAACGTGTTCCTAGTCATGCTCGTAACGTTACTGCATTGTGTAACGTGTTCTTTATCATTCTCGTAACGTTACTGCATTGTGTTACGTGTTCTCCATCATGCTCTTAACGCTACTGCATTGTGTAACGTCTTCCCAGTCATGCTCGTAACGTTACTGCATTGTGTAATGTGTTCTTCGTCATGCTCGTAATGCTACTGCAGTGTGTAACGTGTTCCTAGTCATGCTCGTAACGTTACTGTATTGTGTAACGTGTTCTTCATCATGCTCGTAACGCAAAGTCTGTTTTGTAGGCTTCTTTCAATGCTTCCAGACAAAACATTTCAATCTCATAAAATTTAGATGTATAAAGTGATGGTGTTGTTTAAAGTGCATGGAACATCAATCCACACGAAATATGAAGTAAAAATGTCTTCATACTCTTACAGTAGGTAATGTACCCATTTATTAGTATATCGTGTATGATACCATCGCTCACCTTACCGAGCCGTATTCCAGACGGGTGCAGAGGAGTGAAGTGGACTTCCCTAACTACGAAGGTTTGACCCTAGCTGCGTGACAGATGCACTTATTCTATTCCACGAGAACATGTAGCGCACAGACGACGGCATGCTAGATACGAGGAGCATGTACGGACTTCCCTCTAGGCGCTGCTATCGAGAGCTCACACACTCGCGCAGGTGCGGACTGCCGCTTCCAGTAGCATCGCAACCTTCTCATTCTCTTATCGGTAGTGTGCAGCGGCCGCGGTGTGCCCTCGTCCTGCCCTGAGCGACGCTGAGCGAAATCGTGTGGGGTGTTGATGGGCCGACCTGAGTACGTATCCGACGAGGAGGAGCGCGATGGCGATGCAGTGACGGCGCGCGGAGAGAGTCGCGAGGAGGACGAGGAGAGAAGACCCCAGGAGGAAGGAGCGGACGGAGGAGGGACAGCAGAGGAGGAAGGGGTGGAGGAGGAAGGGGCGGAGGGGGGAGGGACAGCAGAGGAAGGGGGTTCAGGGGACGAGGAGAGTAATGACGAGTTGGGGCATGAACGGGCGGCTGCGATTGAAGTCGGTGTTGTTAAGGGAGAAATGTCGAGACAAGATGATAGCGATGATGACGATAGCGATTCGGGCGATGCGCCCAAGGAGTTCACTCAGTCACAGGAGCCCGCCCACCGTCGCGGTCTCTCCCCTGCCCGCCGCTGTGTTCCGCCTTATCCTCTCGTCACTCTACTGCGTCTGAACCTATTGGCGCATCTTTGAATAGAATCCTCAAACCCTAACCCCTCGCTGTACCTCTCCTCTCCCTGCCCTACCAGGGACGCGAACGGGTTTCGCAGCAGCGCCAGCAGGAGGCAGAAGCCCGCCGCATGTGAGTACACACCACGTTGGTTGCAATAAGCCGCGTCTTTCATTTGAGATTTTTCCTCCGCCGATGTGCCCCCCGTCGTTGCATCGCTCATCCCGGTCCTCTACCCGCCGCCCCACCCTGCAGGGTTGCCAAGGCTGACAGAAAGGTTCGGCAAAAGAGAGCAGGCTTGGCAGCGAAGGGAGAGGAGGGGGAGGGAGGGGAAGAGGGAGACAGTGAGGAGCGGCGGAACAAGGAGGTGGGGGGAAGGCGAAGCGCAGGCGCGAGCTGGAGGGGCGCGCGGAGAGGCGCACGTGGCGGAAGGGGGCGGCGGAAGGGGCAGACGAGGCGACGGGCTCGTTGGTAACCGCAGAAGCGAGGGACGATGCTCGAGAGGGGTCGGATGGGGAGGAGGCGAAGGCAGGCGATGACGAGGGGGGGGGAGGGGCGCTGGGGAAGGGCGCGGTGGAGGGGGGCAACTCTCTTCCCGCTGACGTGATTGCTGCCGTCACACTGCGCCAGCACCCCAGGTGAGCTCGCAGTATGGGGATGCTTTGGAAGATAGGGAATGGGACGGGGGAGTAGGGGGTCCGTAAGGGATAGGGGAATCTATATCCCTTGGATCGGTGATGGTGGTGAAAATCACTATGATATCGTCTTTACCCACACTCCATGCTGCCCACACTCCATGCTGCCCACACTCCATGCTGCCCACACTCCATGCTGCCCACACTCCATGCTGCCCACACTCCATGCTGCCCACACTCCATGCTGCCCACACTCCATGCTGCCCACACTCCATGCTGCCCACACTCCATGCTGCCCACACTCCATGCTGCCCACACTCCATGCTGCCCACACTCCATGCTGCCCACACTCCATGCTGCCCACACTCCATGCTGCCCACACTCCATGCTGCCCACACTCCATGCTGCCCACACTCCATGCTGCCCACACTCCATGCTGCCCACACTCCATGCTGCCCACACTCCATGCTGCCCACACTCCATGCTGCCCACACTCCATGCTGCCCACACTCCATGCTGCCCACACTCCATGCTGCCCACACTCCATGCTGCCCACACTCCATGCTGCCCACACTCCATGCTGCCCACACTCCATGCTGCCCACACTCCATGCTGCCCACACTCCATGCTGCCCACACTCCATGCTGCCCACACTCCATGCTGCCCACACTCCATGCTGCCCACACTCCATGCTGCCCACACTCCATGCTGCCCACACTCCATGCTGCCCACACTCCATGCTGCCCACACTCCATGCTGCCCACACTCCATGCTGCCCACACTCCATGCTGCCCACACTCCATGCTGCCCACACTCCATGCTGCCCACACTCCATGCTGCCCACACTCCATGCTGCCCACACTCCATGCTGCCCACACTCCATGCTGCCCACACTCCATGCTGCCCACACTCCATGCTGCCCACACTCCATGCTGCCCACACTCCATGCTGCCCACACTCCATGCTGCCCACACTCCATGCTGCCCACACTCCATGCTGCCCACACTCCATGCTGCCCACACTCCATGCTGCCCACACTCCATGCTGCCCACACTCCATGCTGCCCACACTCCATGCTGCCCACACTCCATGCTGCCCACACTCCATGCTGCCCACACTCCATGCTGCCCACACTCCATGCTGCCCACACTCCATGCTGCCCACACTCCATGCTGCCCACACTCCATGCTGCCCACACTCCATGCTGCCCACACTCCATGCTGCCCACACTCCATGCTGCCCACACTCCATGCTGCCCACACTCCATGCTGCCCACACTCCATGCTGCCCACACTCCATGCTGCCCACACTCCATGCTGCCCACACTCCATGCTGCCCACACTCCATGCTGCCCACACTCCATGCTGCCCACACTCCATGCTGCCCACACTCCATGCTGCCCACACTCCATGCTGCCCACACTCCATGCTGCCCACACTCCATGCTGCCCACACTCCATGCTGCCCACACTCCATGCTGCCCACACTCCATGCTGCCCACACTCCATGCTGCCCACACTCCATGCTGCCCACACTCCATGCTGCCCACACTCCATGCTGCCCACACTCCATGCTGCCCACACTCCATGCTGCCCACACTCCATGCTGCCCACACTCCATGCTGCCCACACTCCATGCTGCCCACACTCCATGCTGCCCACACTCCATGCTGCCCACACTCCATGCTGCCCACACTCCATGCTGCCCACACTCCATGCTGCCCACACTCCATGCTGCCCACACTCCATGCTGCCCACACTCCATGCTGCCCACACTCCATGCTGCCCACACTCCATGCTGCCCACACTCCATGCTGCCCACACTCCATGCTGCCCACACTCCATGCTGCCCACACTCCATGCTGCCCACACTCCATGCTGCCCACACTCCATGCTGCCCACACTCCATGCTGCCCACACTCCATGCTGCCCACACTCCATGCTGCCCACACTCCATGCTGCCCCACACTCCATGCTGCCCACACTCCATGCTGCCCACACTCCATTGCTGCCCACACTCCATGCTGCCCACACTCCATGCTGCCCACACTCCATGCTGCCCACACTCCATGCTGCCCACACTCCATGCTGCCCACACTCCATGCTGCCCACACTCCATGCTGCCCACACTCCATGCTGCCCACACTCCATGCTGCCCACACTCCATGCTGCCCACACTCCATGCTGCCCACACTCCATGTGCCCACACTCCATGCTGCCCCACACTCCATGCTGCCACCACTCCATGCTGCCCACACTCCATGGCTGCCCACACTCCATGCTGCCACACTCCATGCTGCCCACACTCCATGCTGCCCACACTCCATGCTGCCCACAACTCCATGCTGCCCACACTCATGCTGCCCACAATCCATGCTGCCCACACTCCATGCTGCCCACACTCCATGCTGCCCACACTCCATGCTGCCCACACTCCATGCTGCCCACACTCCATGCTGCCCCACACTCCATGCTGCCCACACTCCATGCTGCCCACACTCCATGCTGCCCACACTCCATGCTGCCCACACTCCATGCTGCCCACACTCCATGCTGCCCACACTCCATGCTGCCCACACTCCATGCTGCCCACACTCCATGCTGCCCACACTCCATGCTGCCCACACTCCATGCTGCCCACACTCCATGCTGCCCACACTCCATGCTGCCCACACTCCATGCTGCCCACACTCCATGCTGCCCACACTCCATGCTGCCCACACTCCATGCTGCCCACACTCCATGCTGCCCACACTCCATGCTGCCCACACTCCATGCTGCCCACACTCCATGCTGCCCACACTCCATGCTGCCCACACTCCATGCTGCCCACACTCCATGCTGCCCACACTCCATGCTGCCCACACTCCATGCTGCCCACACTCCATGCTGCCCACACTCCATGCTGCCCACACTCCATGCTGCCCACACTCCATGCTGCCCACACTCCATGCTGCCCACACTCCATGCTGCCCACACTCCATGCTGCCCACACTCCATGCTGCCCACACTCCATGCTGCCCACACTCCATGCTGCCCACACTCCATGCTGCCCACACTCCATGCTGCCCACACTCCATGCTGCCCACACTCCATGCTGCCCACACTCCATGCTGCCCACACTCCATGCTGCCCACACTCCATGCTGCCCACACTCCATGCTGCCCACACTCCATGCTGCCCACACTCCATGCTGCCCACACTCCATGCTGCCCACACTCCATGCTGCCCACACTCCATGCTGCCCACACTCCATGCTGCCCACACTCCATGCTGCCCACACTCCATGCTGCCCACACTCCATGCTGCCCACACTCCATGCTGCCCACACTCCATGCTGCCCCACACTCCATGCTGCCCACACTCCATGCTGCCCACACTCCATGCTGCCCACACTCCATGCTGCCCACACTCCATGCTGCCCACACTCCATGCTGCCCCACACTCCATGCTGCCCACACTCCATGCTGCCCACACTCCATGCTGCCCACACTCCATGCTGCCCACACTCCATGCTGCCCACACTCCATGCTGCCCACACTCCATGCTGCCCCACACTCCATGCTGCCCACACTCCATGCTGCCCACACTCCATGCTGCCCACACTCCATGCTGCCCACACTCCATGCTGCCCACACTCCATGCTGCCCACACTCCATGCTGCCCACACTCCATGCTGCCCACACTCCATGCTGCCCACACTCCATGCTGCCCACACTCCATGCTGCCCACACTCCATGCTGCCCACACTCCATGCTGCCCACACTCCATGCTGCCCACACTCCATGCTGCCCACACTCCATGCTGCCCACACTCCATGCTGCCCACACTCCATGCTGCCCACACTCCATGCTGCCCACACTCCATGCTGCCCACACTCCATGCTGCCCCACACTCCATGCTGCCCACACTCCATGCTGCCCACACTCCATTGCTGCCCACACTCCATGCTGCCCACACTCCATGCTGCCCACACTCCATGCTGCCCACACTCCATGCTGCCCACACTCCATGCTGCCCACACTCCATGCTGCCCACACTCCATGCTGCCCACACTCCATGCTGCCCACACTCCATGCTGCCCACACTCCATGCTGCCCACACTCCATGCTGCCCACACTCCATGCTGCCCACACTCCATGCTGCCCACACTCCATGCTGCCCACACTCCATGCTGCCCACACTCCATGCTGCCCACACTCCATGCTGCCCACACTCCATGCTGCCCACACTCCATGCTGCCCACACTCCATGCTGCCCACACTCCATGCTGCCCACACTCCATGCTGCCCACACTCCATGCTGCCCACACTCCATGCTGCCCACACTCCATGCTGCCCACACTCCATGCTGCCCACACTCCATGCTGCCCACACTCCATGCTGCCCACACTCCATGCTGCCCACACTCCATGCTGCCCACACTCCATGCTGCCCACACTCCATGCTGCCCACACTCCATGCTGCCCACACTCCATGCTGCCCACACTCCATGCTGCCCACACTCCATGCTGCCCACACTCCATGCTGCCCACACTCCATGCTGCCCACCACTCCATGCTGCCCACACTCCATGCTGCCCACACTCCATGCTGCCCACACTCCATGCTGCCCACACTCCATGCTGCCCACACTCCATGCTGCCCACACTCCATGCTGCCCACACTCCATGCTGCCCACACTCCATGCTGCCCACACTCCATGCTGCCCACACTCCATGCTGCCCACACTCCATGCTGCCCCACACTCCATGCTGCCCACACTCCATGCTGCCCACACTCCATGCTGCCCACACTCCATGCTGCCCACACTCCATGCTGCCCACACTCCATGCTGCCCACACTCCATGCTGCCCACACTCCATGCTGCCCACACTCCATGCTGCCCACACTCCATGCTGCCCCACACTCCATGCTGCCCACACTCCATGCTGCCCACACTCCATGCTGCCCACCACTCCATGCTGCCCACACTCCATGCTGCCCACACTCCATGCTGCCCACACTCCATGCTGCCCACACTCCATGCTGCCCACACTCCATGCTGCCCACACTCCATGCTGCCCACACTCCATGCTGCCCACACTCCATGCTGCCCACACTCCATGCTGCCCACACTCCATGCTGCCCACACTCCATGCTGCCCACACTCCATGCTGCCCACACTCCATGCTGCCCACACTCCATGCTGCCCACACTCCATGCTGCCCACACTCCATGCTGCCCACACTCCATGCTGCCCACACTCCATGCTGCCCACACTCCATGCTGCCCACACTCCATGCTGCCCACACTCCATGCTGCCCACACTCCATGCTGCCCACACTCCATGCTGCCCACACTCCATGCTGCCCACACTCCATGCTGCCCACACTCCATGCTGCCCACACTCCATGCTGCCCACACTCCATGCTGCCCACACTCCATGCTGCCCACACTCCATGCTGCCCACACTCCATGCTGCCCACACTCCATGCTGCCCACACTCCATGCTGCCCACACTCCATGCTGCCCACACTCCATGCTGCCCACACTCCATGCTGCCCACACTCCATGCTGCCCACACTCCATGCTGCCACACTCCATGCTGCCCACACTCCATGCTGCCCACCACTCCATGCTGCCCACACTCCATGCTGCCCACACTCCATGCTGCCCACACTTCTAACATGCTGGCCCACACTCCATGCTGCCCACACTCCATGCTGCCCACACTCCATGCTGCCCACACTCCATGCTGCCCACACTCCATGCTGCCCACACTCCATGCTGCCCACACTCCATGCTGCCCACACTCCATGCTGCCCACACTCCATGCTGCCCACACTCCATGCTGCCCACACTCCATGCTGCCCACACTCCATGCTGCCCACACTTCCCATGCTGCCCACACTCCATGCTGCCACACTCCAGCTGCCCACACTCCATGCTGCCCAGCACTCCATGCTGCCCACACTCCATGCGGCCCCACGGACTCCATGCTGCCCAACACTCCATGCTGCCCACACTCACATGCTGCCCCACACTCCATGCTGCCCACACTCCATGCTGCCCACACTCCCATGCTGCACACACTCCAATGCTGCCCACACTCATGCTGCCCACACTCCATGCTGCCCACACTCCATGCTGCCCACACTCCATGCTGGCCCACACTCAATGCTGCCCACACTCTGGCTGCCCACACTGCCATGCTGCCCACCTCCATTGCTGCCCACACTCATGCTGCCCACCTCCATTCTGTCCCACACTCCATGCTGCCCACACTCCATGCTGCCCACACTCTGCTGCCCACACTCCATGCTGCCCACACTCCATCTGCCACACTCCATGCTGCCCACACGCCGATGCTGCCCACACTCATTCGTGCCCACCACTCCATGCTGGCCCACACTCCATGCTGCCCACACTCCATGCTTGCCCACACTCCATGCTGCCCCACACTACATGCTGCACACACTCCATGCCCTGCCCACACTCCATGCTGCCCACACTCCATGCTGCCCACACTCCATGCTGCCCACTCATGCTGCCCACACTATCCATGCTGCCCACAACTCATGCCTCCCGCACTCCATGCTGCCCACACTCCATGCTGCCCACACTCCATGCTGCCCAACTCCATGCTGCCCACACTCCATGCTGCCCACACTCCATGCTGCCCACACTCCATGCTGCCCACACTCCATGCTGCCCACACTCCATGCTGCCCACACTCCATGCTGCCCACACTCCATGCTTGCCCACACTCCATGCTGCCCACATCCAGCTGCCCACACTCCATGCTGCCCACACTCCATGCTGCCCACACTCCATGCTGCCCACACTCCATGCTGCCCACACTCCATGCTGCCCACACTCCATGCTGCCCACACTCCATGCTGCCCACACTCCATGATGCCCACACTCCATGATGCCCACACTCCATGCTGCCCCACACTCCATGCTGCCCCACACTCATGCTGCCCACACTCCATGCTGCCCACACTCCATGCTGCCCACACTCCATGCTGCCCACACTCCATGCTGCCCACACTCCATGCTGCCCCACACTCCATGCTGGCCCACCACTCCATGCTGCCACACTCCATGCTGCCCCACACTCCATGCTGCCCACACTCCATGCTGCCCACACTCCATGCTGCCCACACTCCATGCTGCCCACACTCCAGCTGCACCTCTGCTGCCCACACTCCATGCTGCCCACACTCCATGCTGCCCACACTCCATCGCTGCCCACACTCCATGCTGCCCACACTCCCATTGCTGCCCACAATCCATGCTGCCCACACTCCATGCTGCCCACACTCCATGCTGCCCACACTCCATGCTGTGCCCACACTCCATGCTGCCCAACCACTCCAATTGCTGCCCCACACTCCAATTGCTGCCCACACTCCATGCTGCCCAACACTCCATGCTGCCCACACTCCATGCTGCCCACACTCCATTGCTTGCCCACACTCCCATGCTGCCCACACTCCATGCTGCCCACACTCAGCGCCCACATTCCATGCTGCCCACACTCCATGCTGCCCACACTCCATGCTGCCCACACTCCATGCTGCCCACACTCCATGCTGCCCACACTCCATGCTGCCCACACTCCATGCTGCCACACTCCATGCTGCCCACACTCCATGCTGCCCACACTCCATGCTGCCCACACTCCATGCTGCCCACACTCCATGCTGCCACACTCTCCATGCTGCCCACACTCCATGCTGCCCAACTCATGCTGCACACTCCATGCTGCCCACACTCCATGCTGCCCACACTCCATGCTGCCCACACTCCATGCTGCCCACACTCCATGCTGCCCACACTCCATGCTGCCCACACTCCATGCTGCCCACATCCATGCTGCCCACACTCCATGCTGCCCACACTCCATGCTGCCCACACTCCATGCTGCCCACACTCCATGCTGCCCACACTCCATGCTGCCCACACTCCATGCTGCCCACACTCCATGCTGCCCACACTCCATGCTGCCCACACTCCATGCTGCCCACACTCCATGCTGCCCACACTCCATGCTGCCCACACTCCATGCTGCCCACACTCCATGCTGCCCACACTCCATGCTGCCCACACTCCATGCTGCCCACACTCCATGCTGCCCACACTCCATGCTGCCCACACTCCATGCTGCCCACACTCCATGCTGCCCACACTCCATGCTGCCCACACTCCATGCTGCCCACACTCCATGCTGCCCACACTCCATGCTGCCCACACTCCATGCTGCCCACACTCCATGCTGCCCACACTCCATGCTGCCCACACTCCATGCTGCCCACACTCCATGCTGCCCACACTCCATGCTGCCCACACTCCATGCTGCCCACACTCCATGCTGCCCACACTCCATGCTGCCCACACTCCATGCTGCCCACACTCCATGCTGCCCACACTCCATGCTGCCCACACTCCATGCTGCCCACACTCCATGCTGCCCACACTCCATGCTGCCCACACTCCATGCTGCCCACACTCCATGCTGCCCACACTCCATGCTGCCCACACTCCATGCTGCCCACACTCCATGCTGCCCACACTCCATGCTGCCCACACTCCATGCTGCCCACACTCCATGCTGCCCACACTCCATGCTGCCCACACTCCATGCTGCCCACACTCCATGCTGCCCACACTCCATGCTGCCCACACTCCATGCTGCCCACACTCCATGCTGCCCACACTCCATGCTGCCCACACTCCATGCTGCCCACACTCCATGCTGCCCACACTCCATGCTGCCCACACTCCATGCTGCCCACACTCCATGCTGCCCACACTCCATGCTGCCCACACTCCATGCTGCCCACACTCCATGCTGCCCACACTCCATGCTGCCCACACTCCATGCTGCCCACACTCCATGCTGCCCACACTCCATGCTGCCCACACTCCATGCTGCCCACACTCCATGCTGCCCACACTCCATGCTGCCCACACTCCATGCTGCCCACACTCCATGCTGCCCACACCTCCATGCTGCCCACACTCCATGCTTGCCCACACTCCATGCTGCCCACACTCCATGCTGCCCACACTCCATGCTGCCCACACTCCATGCTGCCCACACTCCATGCTGCCCACACTCCATGCTGCCCACACTCCATGCTGCCCACACTCCATGCTGCCCACACTCCATGCTGCCCACACTCCATGCTGCCCACACTCCATGCTGCCCACACTCCATGCTGCCCACACTCCATGCTGCCCACACTCCATGCTGCCCACACTCCATGCTGCCCACACTCCATGCTGCCCACACTCCATGCTGCCCACACTCCATGCTGCCCACACTCCATGCTGCCCACACTCCATGCTGCCCACACTCCATGCTGCCCACACTCCATGCTGCCCACACTCCATGCTGCCCACACTCCATGCTGCCCACACTCCATGCTGCCCACACTCCATGCTGCCCACACTCCATGCTGCCCACACTCCATGCTGCCCACACTCCATGCTGCCCACACTCCATGCTGCCCACACTCCATGCTGCCCACACTCCATGCTGCCCACACTCCATGCTGCCCACACTCCATGCTGCCCACACTCCATGCTGCCCACACTCCATGCTGCCCACACTCCATGCTGCCCACACTCCATGCTGCCCACACTCCATGCTGCCCACACTCCATGCTGCCCACACTCCATGCTGCCCACACTCCATGCTGCCCACACTCCATGCTGCCCACACTCCATGCTGCCCACACTCCATGCTGCCCACACTCCATGCTGCCCACACTCCATGCTGCCCACACTCCATGCTGCCCACACTCCATGCTGCCCACACTCCATGCTGCCCACACTCCATGCTGCCCACACTCCATGCTGCCCACACTCCATGCTGCCCACACTCCATGCTGCCCACACTCCATGCTGCCCACACTCCATGCTGCCCACACTCCATGCTGCCCACACTCCATGCTGCCCACAACTCCATGCTGCCCACACTCCATGCTGCCCACACTCCATGCTGCCCACACTCCATGCTGCCCACACTCCATGCTGCCCACACTCCATGCTGCCCCACACTCCATGCTGACCAACTCCATGCTGCCCCACCACTCCATGCTGCCCACACTCCATGCTGCCCACACTCCATGCTGCCCACACTCTCAATGCTGCCCACACTCCATGCTGCCCACACTCCCTGCTGCCCACACTCCATGCTGCCCACACTCCATGCTGCCCCACACTCCCTGCTGCCCACACTCCATGCTGCCCACACTCCATGCATGCCCACACTCCATGCTCGCCCACACTCCATGCTGCCCACAACTCCATGCTGCCCACACTCCATGCTGCCCACATCTCCATGCTGCCCACACTCCATGCTGCCCACACTCCATGCTGCCCACACTCCATGTCTGCCCACCACTCCATGCTGCCCACACTCCATGCTGCCCACACTCCATGCTGCCCACACTCCCGCTGCCCAACACTCCATGCTGCCCACACTCCATGCTGCCCACACTCCATGCTGCCCACACTCCATGCTGCCCACACTCCATGCTGCCCACACTCCATGCTGCCCACACTCCATGCTGCCCACACTCCATGCTGCCCACACTCCATGCTGCCCACACTCCATGCTGCCCACACTCCATGCTGCCCACACTCCATGCTGCCCACACTCCATGCTGCCCACACTCCATGCTGCCCACACTCCATGCTGCCCACACTCCATGCTGCCCACACTCCATGCTGCCCACACTCCATGCTGCCCACACTCCATGCTGCCCACACTCCATGCTGCCCACACTCCATGCTGCCCACACTCCATGCTGCCCACACTCCATGCTGCCCACACTCCATGCTGCCCACACTCCATGCTGCCCACACTCCATGCTGCCCACACTCCATGCTGCCCACACTCCATGCTGCCCACACTCCATGCTGCCCACACTCCATGCTGCCCACACTCCATGCTGCCCACACTCCATGCTGCCCACACTCCATGCTGCCCACACTCCATGCTGCCCACACTCCATGCTGCCCACACTCCATGCTGCCCACACTCCATGCTGCCCACACTCCATGCTGCCCACACTCCATGCTGCCCACACTCCATGCTGCCCACACTCCATGCTGCCCACACTCCATGCTGCCCACACTCCATGCTGCCCACACTCCATGCTGCCCACACTCCATGCTGCCCACACTCCATGCTGCCCACACTCCATGCTGCCCACACTCCATGCTGCCCACACTCCATGCTGCCCACACTCCATGCTGCCCACACTCCATGCTGCCCACACTCCATGCTGCCCACACTCCATGCTGCCCACACTCCATGCTGCCCACACTCCATGCTGCCCACACTCCATGCTGCCCACACTCCATGCTGCCCACACTCCATGCTGCCCACACTCCATGCTGCCCACACTCCATGCTGCCCACACTCCATGCTGCCCACACTCCATGCTGCCCACACTCCATGCTGCCCACACTCCATGCTGCCCACACTCCATGCTGCCCACACTCCATGCTGCCCACACTCCATGCGCCCACACTCCATGCTGCCCACACTCCATGCTGCCCACACTCCATGCTGCCCACACTCCATGCTGCCCACACTCCATGCTGCCCACACTCCATGCTGCCACACTCCCTGCTGCCCACACTCCATGCTGCCCACACTCATGCTGCCCACACTCCATGCTGCCCACACTCCATGCTGCCCACACTCCATGCTGCCCACACTCCATGCTGCCCACACTCCATGCTGCCCACACTCCATGCTGCCCACACTCCATGCTGCCACACTCCATGCTGCCCACACTCCATGCTGCCCACACTCCATGCTGCCCACACTCCATGCTGCCCACACTCCATGCTGCCCACACTCCATGCTGCCCACACTCCATGCTGCCCACACTCCATGCTTGCCCACACTCCATGCTGCCCACACTCCATGCTGCCCACACTCATGCTGCCCACACTCCATGCTGCCCACACTCCATGCTGCCCACACTCCATGCTGCCCACACTCCATGCATGCCCACACTCCATGCTGCCCACTCCATGCTGCCCACACTCCATGCTGCCACACTCCATGCTGCCCACACTCCATGCTGCCCACACTCCATGCTGCCCACACTCCATGCTGCCCACCACTCCATGCTGCCCACACTCCATGCTGCCCCCCACTCCATGCTGCCACACTCCATGCTGCCCACACTCACTGCTGCCCATCCATGCTGCCCACACTCCATGCTGCCCACACTCCATGCTGCCCACACTCCATGCTGCCCACACTCCATGCTGCCCCACACTCCATGCTGCCCACACTCCATGCTGCCCACACTCCATGCTGCCCACACTCCATGCTGCCCACACTCCATGCTGCCCACACTCCATGCTGCCCACACTCCATGCTGCCCACACTCCATGCTGCCCACACTCCATGCTGCCCACACTCCATGCTGCCCACACTCCATGCTGCCCACACTCCATGCTGCCCACACTCCATGCTGCCCACACTCCATGCTGCCCACACTCCATGCTGCCCACACTCCATGCTGCCCACACTCCATGCTGCCCACACTCCATGCTGCCCACACTCCATGCTGCCCACACTCCATGCTGCCCACACTCCATGCTGCCCACACTCCATGCTGCCCACACTCCATGCTGCCCACACTCCATGCTGCCCACACTCCATGCTGCCCACACTCCATGCTGCCCACACTCCATGCTGCCCACACTCCATGCTGCCCACACTCCATGCTGCCCACACTCCATGCTGCCCACACTCCATGCTGCCCACACTCCATGCTGCCCACACTCCATGCTGCCCACACTCCATGCTGCCCACACTCCATGCTGCCCACACTCCATGCTGCCCACACTCCATGCTGCCCACACTCCATGCTGCCCACACTCCATGCTGCCCACACTCCATGCTGCCCACACTCCATGCTGCCCACACTCCATGCTGCCCACACTCCATGCTGCCCACACTCCATGCTGCCCACACTCCATGCTGCCCACACTCCATGCTGCCCACACTCCATGCTGCCCACACTCCATGCTGCCCACACTCCATGCTGCCCACACTCCATGCTGCCCACACTCCATGCTGCCCACACTCCATGCTGCCCACACTCCATGCTGCCCACACTCCATGCTGCCACACTCCATGCTGCCCACACTCCATGCTGCCCACACTCCATGCTGCCCCACACTCCATGCTGCCCACACTCCATGCTGCCCACACTCCATGCTGCCCACACCTCCATGCTGCCACACTCCTGCTGCCCACCACTCCATGCTGCCCACACTCCATGCTGCCCACACTCCATGCTGCCCACACTCCATGCTGCCCACACTCCATGCTGCCCACACTCCATGCTGCCCACACTCATGCTGCCCACACTCCATGTGCCCACACTCCATGTGCCCACACTCCATGCTGCCCACACTCCATGCTGGCCCACACTCCATGCTGCCCACACTCCATGCTGCCCACACTCCATGCTGCCCACACTCCATGCTGCCACACTCCATGCTGCCCACACTCCATGCTGCCAACCACTCCATGCTGCCCACACTCCAGCTGCCCACACTCCATGCTGCCCACACTCCATGCTGCCCACACTCCATGCTGCCCACACTCCATGCTGCCCACACTCCATGCTTGCCCACACTCCATGCTGCCCACACTCCATGCTGCCCACACTCCATGCTGCCCACACTCCATGCTGCCCACACTCCATGCTGCCCACACTCCATGCTGCCCACACTCCATGCTGCCCACACTCCATGCTGCCCACACTCCATGCTGCCCACACTCCATGCTGCCCACACTCCATGCTGCCCACACTCCATGCTGCCCACACTCCATGCTGCCCACACTCCATGCTGCCCACACTCCATGCTGCCCACACTCCATGCTGCCCACACTCCATGCTGCCCACACTCCATGCTGCCCACACTCCATGCTGCCCACACTCCATGCTGCCCACACTCCATGCTGCCCACACTCCATGCTGCCCACACTCCATGCTGCCCACACTCCATGCTGCCCACACTCCATGCTGCCCACACTCCATGCTGCCCACACTCCATGCTGCCCACACTCCATGCTGCCCACACTCCATGCTGCCCACACTCCATGCTGCCCACACTCCATGCTGCCCACACTCCATGCTGCCCACACTCCATGCTGCCCACACTCCATGCTGCCCACACTCCATGCTGCCCACACTCCATGCTGCCCACACTCCATGCTGCCCACACTCCATGCTGCCCACACTCCATGCTGCCCACACTCCATGCTGCCCACACTCCATGCTGCCCACACTCCATGCTGCCCACACTCCATGCTGCCCACACTCCATGCTGCCCACACTCCATGCTGCCCACACTCCATGCTGCCCCACACTCCATGCTGCCCACACTCCATGGCTGCCCACACTCCATTGCTGCCCACACCTTCCATGCTGCCCACACTCCCTGCTGCCCACACTCCATGCTGCCCACACTCCCATGCTGCCCACACTCCATGCTGGCCCACACTCCCATGGGCCCACCACTCCATGCTGCCCACCACTCCATGCTGGCCCCACACTCCATGCTGCCCACACTCCATCGCTGCCCACACTCCATGCTGCCCCACACTCCATGCTGCCCACACTCCATGCCTGCCCACACTCCATGCTGCCCACACTCCATGCTGCCCACACTCCATGCTGCCCACACCTTCCATGCTGGCCCACACTCCATGCTGCCCACACCTCCATCGCTGCCCACACTCCATGCTGCCCACACTCCATGCTGCCCACACTCCATGCTGCCCACACTCCATGCTGCCCACACTCCATGCTGCCCACACTCCATGCTGCCCACACTCCATGCTGCCCACACTCCATGCTGCCCACACTCCATGCTGCCCACACTCCATGCTGCCCACACTCCATGCTGCCCACACTCCATGCTGCCCACACTCCATGCTGCCCACACTCCATGCTGCCCACACTCCATGCTGCCCACACTCCATGCTGCCCACACTCCATGCTGCCCACACTCCATGCTGCCCACACTCCATGCTGCCCACACTCCATGCTGCCCACACTCCATGCTGCCCACACTCCATGCTGCCCACACTCCATGCTGCCCACACTCCATGCTGCCCACACTCCATGCTGCCCACACTCCATGCTGCCCACACTCCATGCTGCCCACACTCCATGCTGCCCACACTCCATGCTGCCCACACTCCATGCTGCCCACACTCCATGCTGCCCACACTCCATGCTGCCCACACTCCATGCTGCCCACACTCCATGCTGCCCACACTCCATGCTGCCCACACTCCATGCTGCCCACACTCCATGCTGCCCACACTCCATGCTGCCCACACTCCATGCTGCCCACACTCCATGCTGCCCACACTCCATGCTGCCCACACTCCATGCTGCCCACACTCCATGCTGCCCACACTCCATGCTGCCCACACTCCATGCTGCCCACACTCCATGCTGCCCACACTCCATGCTGCCCACACTCCATGCTGCCCACACTCCATGCTGCCCACACTCCATGCTGCCCACACTCCATGCTGCCCACACTCCATGCTGCCCACACTCCATGCTGCCCACACTCCATGCTGCCCACACTCCATGCTGCCCACACTCCATGCTGCCCACACTCCATGCTGCCCACACTCCATGCTGCCCACACTCCATGCTGCCCACACTCCATGCTGCCCACACTCCATGCTGCCCACACTCCATGCTGCCCACACTCCATGCTGCCCACACTCCATGCTGCCCACACTCCATGCTGCCCACACTCCATGCTGCCCACACTCCATGCTGCCCACACTCCATGCTGCCCACACTCCATGCTGCCCACACTCCATGCTGCCCACACTCCATGCTGCCCACACTCCATGCTGCCCACACTCCATGCTGCCCACACTCCATGCTGCCCACACTCCATGCTGCCCACACTCCATGCTGCCCACACTCCATGCTGCCCACACTCCATGCTGCCCACACTCCATGCTGCCCACACTCCATGCTGCCCACACTCCATGCTGCCCACACTCCATGCTGCCCACACTCCATGCTGCCCACACTCCATGCTGCCCACACTCCATGCTGCCCACACTCCATGCTGCCCACACTCCATGCTGCCCACACTCCATGCTGCCCACACTCCATGCTGCCCACACTCCATGCTGCCCACACTCCATGCTGCCCACACTCCATGCTGCCCACACTCCATGCTGCCCACACTCCATGCTGCCCACACTCCATGCTGCCCACACTCCATGCTGCCCACACTCCATGCTGCCCACACTCCATGCTGCCCACACTCCATGCTGCCCACACTCCATGCTGCCCACACTCCATGCTGCCCACACTCCATGCTGCCCACACTCCATGCTGCCCACACTCCATGCTGCCCACACTCCATGCTGCCCACACTCCATGCTGCCCACACTCCATGCTGCCCACACTCCATGCTGCCCACACTCCATGCTGCCCACACTCCATGCTGCCCACACTCCATGCTGCCCACACTCCATGCTGCCCACACTCCATGCTGCCCACACTCCATGCTGCCCACACTCCATGCTGCCCACACTCCATGCTGCCCACACTCCATGCTGCCCACACTCCATGCTGCCCACACTCCATGCTGCCCACACTCCATGCTGCCCACACTCCATGCTGCCCACACTCCATGCTGCCCACACTCCATGCTGCCCACACTCCATGCTGCCCACACTCCATGCTGCCCACACTCCATGCTGCCCACACTCCATGCTGCCCACACTCCATGGCTGCCCACACTCCATGCTGCCCACACTCCTGCTGCCACACTCCATGCTGCCCACACTCCATGCTGCCCACACTCCATGCTGCCCCCACTCCATGCTGCCCACACTCCATGCTGGCCCACACTCCATGCTGCCCACACTCCATGCTGCCCACACTCATGCTGCCCACACTCCATGCTGCCCACACTCCATGCTGCCCACACTCCATGCTGCCCAACACTCCATGCTGCCCCACACTCCATGCTGCCACACTCATGCTGCCCACACTCCATGCTGCCACACTCCATGCTGCCCACACTCCATGCTGCCCACACTCCATGCTGCCCCACACTCCATGCTGCCCACACTCCATGCTGCCCACACTCCATGCTGCCCACACTCCATGCTGCCCACACTCCATGCTGCCCACACTCCATGCTGCCACACTCCATGCTGCCCACACTCCATGCTGCCCACACTCCATGCTGCCCACACCCATGCGCCCACACTCCATGCTGCCCCACACTCCATGCTGCCCACACTCCATGCTGCCACAACTCCATGCTGCCCACACTCCATGCTGCCCACACTCCATGCTGCCCACACTCCAGGCTGCTGCCCACACTCCATGCTGCCCACACTCCATGCTGCCCACACTCCATGCTGCCCACACTCCATGCTGCCCACACTCCATGCTGCCCACACTCCATGCTGCCCACACTCCATGCTGCCCACACTCCATGCTGCCCACACTCCATGCTGCCCACACTCCATGCTGCCCACACTCCATGCTGCCCACACTCCATGCTGCCCACACTCCATGCTGCCCACACTCCATGCTGCCCACACTCCATGCTGCCCACACTCCATGCTGCCCACACTCCATGCTGCCCACACTCCATGCTGCCCACACTCCATGCTGCCCACACTCCATGCTGCCCACACTCCATGCTGCCCACACTCCATGCTGCCCACACTCCATGCTGCCCACACTCCATGCTGCCCACACTCCATGCTGCCCACACTCCATGCTGCCCACACTCCATGCTGCCCACACTCCATGCTGCCCACACTCCATGCTGCCCACACTCCATGCTGCCCACACTCCATGCTGCCCACACTCCATGCTGCCCACACTCCATGCTGCCCACACTCCATGCTGCCCACACTCCATGCTGCCCACACTCCATGCTGCCCACACTCCATGCTGCCCACACTCCATGCTGCCCACACTCCATGCTGCCCACACTCCATGCTGCCCACACTCCATGCTGCCCACACTCCATGCTGCCCACACTCCATGCTGCCCACACTCCATGCTGCCCACACTCCATGCTGCCCACACTCCATGCTGCCCACACTCCATGCTGCCCACACTCCATGCTGCCCACACTCCATGCTGCCCACACTCCATGCTGCCCACACTCCATGCTGCCCACACTCCATGCTGCCCACACTCCATGCTGCCCACACTCCATGCTGCCCACACTCCATGCTGCCCACACTCCATGCTGCCCACACTCCATGCTGCCCACACTCCATGCTGCCCACACTCCATGCTGCCCACACTCCATGCTGCCCACACTCCATGCTGCCCACACTCCATGCTGCCCACACTCCATGCTGCCCACACTCCATGCTGCCCACACTCCATGCTGCCCACACTCCATGCTGCCCACACTCCATGCTGCCCACACTCCATGCTGCCCACACTCCATGCTGCCCACACTCCATGCTGCCCACACTCCATGCTGCCCACACTCCATGCTGCCCACACTCCATGCTGCCCACACTCCATGCTGCCCACACTCCATGCTGCCCACACTCCATGCTGCCCACACTCCATGCTGCCCACACTCCATGCTGCCCACACTCCATGCTGCCCACACTCCATGCTGCCCACACTCCATGCTGCCCACACTCCATGCTGCCCACACTCCATGCTGCCCACACTCCATGCTGCCCACACTCCATGCTGCCCACACTCCATGCTGCCCACACTCCATGCTGCCCACACTCCATGCTGCCCACACTCCATGCTGCCCACACTCCATGCTGCCCACACTCCATGCTGCCCACACTCCATGCTGCCCACACTCCATGCTGCCCACACTCCATGCTGCCCACACTCCATGCTGCCCACACTCCATGCTGCCCACACTCCATGCTGCCCACACTCCATGCTGCCCACACTCCATGCTGCCCACACTCCATGCTGCCCACACTCCATGCTGCCCACACTCCATGCTGCCCACACTCCATGCTGCCCACACTCCATGCTGCCCACACTCCATGCTGCCCACACTCCATGCTGCCCACACTCCATGCTGCCCACACTCCATGCTGCCCACACTCCATGCTGCCCACACTCCATGCTGCCCACACTCCATGCTGCCCACACTCCATGCTGCCCACACTCCATGCTGCCCACACTCCATGCTGCCCACACTCCATGCTGCCCACACTCCATGCTGCCCACACTCCATGCTGCCCACACTCCATGCTGCCCACACTCCATGCTGCCCACACTCCATGCTGCCCACACTCCATGCTGCCCACACTCCATGCTGCCCACACTCCATGCTGCCCACACTCCATGCTGCCCACACTCCATGCTGCCCAACACTCCATGCTGCCCACACTCCATGCTGCCCACACTCCATGCTGCCCACACTCCATGCTGCCCACACTCCATGCTGCCACACTCCATGCTGCCCACCACTCCATGCTGCCCACACTCCATGCTGCCCACTACTCCATGCTGCCCACACTCCATGCTGCCCACACTCCATGCTGCCCACACTCCATGCTGCCCACACTCCATGCTGCCCACACTCCATGCTGCCCACACTCCATGCTGCCCACACTCCATGCTGCCCACACTCCATGCTGCCCACACATGCCAATGCTGCCCACACTCCATGCGGCCCACACTCCATGCTGCCCACACCTCCATGCTGCCCACACTCCATGCTGCCCAACACTCCATGCTGCCCACACTCCATGCTGCCCACACTCCATGCTGCCCACACTCCATGCTGCCCACACTCCATGCTGCCCACACTCCATGCTGCCCACACTCCATGCTGCCCACACTCCATGCTGCCCACACTCCATGCTGCCAACACTCCATGCTGCCCACACTCCATGCTGCCACACTCCATGCTGCCCACACTCCATGCTGCCCACACTCATGCTGCCCACACTCCATGCTGCCCCACACTCCATGCTGCCCACACTCCATGCTGCCCACACTCCATGCTGCCCACACTCATGCTGCCCACACTCCATGCTGCCCCACACTCCATGCTGCCACACTCCATGCTGCCCACACTCCATGCTGCCCACACTCCATGCTGCCCACACTCCATTGCTGCCCACACTCCATGCTGCCCACACTCCATGCTGCCCACACTCCATGTGCCCACACTCCATGCTGCCCACACTCCATGCTGCCCACACTCCATGCTGCCCACACTCCATGCTGGCCCCACACTCCATGTGTCCCACACTCCATGCTGCCCACACTCCATGCTGCCCACACTCCATGCTGCCCACACTCATGCTGCCCACACTCCATGCTGCCCACACTCCATGCTGCCCACACTCCATGCCTGCCCACACTCCATGCTGCCCACACTCCATGCTGCCCACACTCCATGCTGCCCACACTCCATGCTGCCCACACTCCATGCCTGCCCACACAATCCATGCTGCCCACACTCCATGCTGCCCACACTCCATGCTGCCCACACTCCATGCTGCCCACACTCCATGCTGCCCACACTCCATGCTGCCCCACACTCCATGCTGCCCACACTCCATGCTGCCCACACTCCATGCTGCCCACACTCCATGCTGCCCACACTCCATGCTGCCCACACTCCATGCTGCCCACACTCCATGCTGCCCACACTCCATGCTTGCCCACACTCCATGCTGCCCACACTCCATGCTGCCCACACTCCATGCTGCCCACACTCCATGCTGCCCACACTCCATGCTGCCCACACTCCATGCTGCCCACACTCCATGCTGCCCACACTCCATGCTGCCCACACTCCATGCTGCCCACACTCCATGCTGCCCACACTCCATGCTGCCCACACTCCATGCTGCCCACACTCCATGCTGCCCACACTCCATGCTGCCCACACTCCATGCTGCCCACACTCCATGCTGCCCCCACTCCATGCTGCCCACACTCCATGCTGCCCACACTCCATGCTGCCCACACTCCATGCTGCCCACACTCCATGCTGCCCACACTCCATGCTGCCCACACTCCATGCTGCCCACAAGGAAATCTCCATGCTGCCCACACTCCATGCTGCCCACACTCCATGCTGCCCCACACTCCATGCTGCCCACACTCCATGCTGCCCACACTCCATGCTGCCCACACTCCATGCTGCCCACACTCCATGTCTGGGCCCACCACTCCATGCTGCCCCACACTCCATGCTGCCCACACTCCATGCTGCCCACACTCCATGCTGCCCACACTCATGCTTGCCCACACTCCATGCTGCCCACACCCCATGCTGCCCACACTCCATGCTGCCCACACTCCATGCTGCCCACACTCCATGCTGCCCACACTCCATGCTGCCCACACTCCATGCTGCCCACACTCCATGCTGCCCCACACTCCATGCTGCCCACACTCCATGCTGCCCACACTCCATGCTGCCCACACTCCATGCTGCCCACACTCCATGCTGCCCACACTCCATGCTGCCCAACACTCCATGCTGCCCACACTCCATGCTGCCCACACTCCATGCTGCCCACACTCCATGCTGCCCACACTCCATGCTGCCCCACTCCATGCGCCCACTCCATGCTGCCCACACTCCATGCTGCCCACCTCCATGCTGCCCACACTCCATGCTGCCCACACTCCATGCTGCCCACACTCCATGCTGCCCACACTCCATGCTGCCCACACCTCCATGCTGCCCACACTCCATGCTGCCCACACTCCATGCTGCCCACACTCCATGCTGCCCACACTCCATGCATGCCCACACTCCATGCTGCCCACACTCCATGCTGCCCCACACTCCATGCTGCCCACACTCCATGCTGCCCACACTCCATGCTCGCCCACACTCCATGCTGCCCACCACTCCATGCTGCCCACACTCCATGCTGCCCACCACTCCATGCTGCCCACACTCCATGCTGCCCACACTCCATGCTGCCCACACTCCATGCTGCCCACACTCCATGCTGCCCACACTCCATGCTGCCCACACTCCATTGCTGCCCACACTCCATGCTGCCCACACTCCATGCTGCCCACACTCCATGCTGCCCACACTCCATGCTGCCCACACTCCATGCTGCCCACACTCCATGCTGCCCACACTCCATGCTGCCCACACTCCATGCTGCCCACACTCCATGCTGCCCACACTCCATGCTGCCCACACTCCATGCTGCCCACACTCCATGCTGCCCACACTCCATGCTGCCCACAACTCCATGCTGCCCACACTCCATGCTGCCCACACTCCATGCTGCCCACACTCCATGCTGCCCACACTCCATGCTGCCCACACTCCATGCTGCCCACACTCCATGCTGCCCACACTCCATGCTGCCCACACTCCATGCTGCCCACACTCCATGCTGCCCACACTCCATGCTGCCCACACTCCATGCTGCCCACACTCCATGCTGCCCACACTCCATGCTGCCCACACTCCATGCTGCCCACACTCCATGCTGCCCACACTCCATGCTGCCCACACTCCATGCTGCCCACACTCCATGCTGCCCACACTCCATGCTGCCCACACTCCATGCTGCCCACACTCCATGCTGCCCACACTCCATGCTGCCCACACTCCATGCTGCCCACACTCCATGCTGCCCACACTCCATGCTGCCCACACTCCATGCTGCCCACACTCCATGCTGCCCACACTCCATGCTGCCCACACTCCATGCTGCCCACACTCCATGCTGCCCACACTCCATGCTGCCCACACTCCATGCTGCCCACACTCCATGCTGCCCACACTCCATGCTGCCCACACTCCATGCTGCCCACACTCCATGCTGCCCACACTCCATGCTGCCCACACTCCATGCTGCCCACACTCCATGCTGCCCACACTCCATGCTGCCCACACTCCATGCTGCCCACACTCCATGCTGCCCACACTCCATGCTGCCCACACTCCATGCTGCCCACACTCCATGCTGCCCACACTCCATGCTGCCCACACTCCATGCTGCCCACACTCCATGCTGCCCACACTCCATGCTGCCCACACTCCATGCTGCCCACACTCCATGCTGCCCACACTCCATGCTGCCCACACTCCATGCTGCCCACACTCCATGCTGCCCACACTCCATGCTGCCCACACTCCATGCTGCCCACACTCCATGCTGCCCACACTCCATGCTGCCCACACTCCATGCTGCCCACACTCCATGCTGCCCACACTCCATGCTGCCCACACTCCATGCTGCCCACACTCCATGCTGCCCACACTCCATGCTGCCCACACTCCATGCTGCCCACACTCCATGCTGCCCACACTCCATGCTGCCCACACTCCATGCTGCCCACACTCCATGCTGCCCACACTCCATGCTGCCCACACTCCATGCTGCCCACACTCCATGCTGCCCACACTCCATGCTGCCCACACTCCATGCTGCCCACACTCCATGCTGCCCACACTCCATGCTGCCCACACTCCATGCTGCCCACACTCCATGCTGCCCACACTCCATGCTGCCCACACTCCATGCTGCCCACACTCCATGCTGCCCACACTCCATGCTGCCCACACTCCATGCTGCCCACACTCCATGCTGCCCACACTCCATGCTGCCCACACTCCATGCTGCCCACACTCCATGCTGCCCACACTCCATGCTGCCCACACTCCATGCTGCCCACACTCCATGCTGCCCACACTCCATGCTGCCCACACTCCATGCTGCCCACACTCCATGCTGCCCACACTCCATGCTGCCCACACTCCATGCTGCCCACACTCCATGCTGCCCACACTCCATGCTGCCCACACTCCATGCTGCCCACACTCCATGCTGCCCACACTCCATGCTGCCCACACTCCATGCTGCCCACACTCCATGCTGCCCACACTCCATGCTGCCCACACTCCATGCTGCCCACACTCCATGCTGCCCACACTCCATGCTGCCCACACTCCATGCTGCCCACACTCCATGCTGCCCACACTCCATGCTGCCCACACTCCATGCTGCCCACACTCCATGCTGCCCACACTCCATGCTGCCCACACTCCATGCTGCCCACACTCCATGCTGCCCACACTCCATGCTGCCCACACTCCATGCTGCCCACACTCCATGCTGCCCACACTCCATGCATGCCCCACACTCCATGCTGCCCACCACTCCATGCCTGCCCACACTCCATGCTTGCCCACAACTCCATGCTGCCCACCTCCATGCTGGCCCACACTCCATGCTGCCCACACTCCATGCTGCCCACACTCCATGCTGCCCACACTCCATGCTGCCCACACTCCATGCTGCCCACACTCCATGCTGCCCACACTCCATGCTGCCCACACTCCATGCTGCCCACACTCCATGTCTGCCCACACTCCATGCTGCCCACACTCCATGCTGCCCACACTCCATGCTGCCCACACTCCATGCTGCCCACACTCCATGCTGCCCACACTCCATGCTGCCCACCACTCCCATGCTGCCCACACTCCATGCTGCCCACACTCCATGCTGCCCACACTCCATGCTGCCCACACTCCAGTGCTGCCCACACTCATGCTGCCCACACTCCATGCTGCCCACCACTCCATGCTTGCCCACACTCCATGCGCCCACACTCCATGCTGCCCCACACTCCATGCTGCCCACACTCCATGCTGCCCACACTCCATGCTGCCCACACTCCATGCTGCCCACACTCCATGCTGCCCACACTCCATGCTGCCCACACTCCATGCTGCCCACACTCCATGCTGCCCACACTCCATGCTGCCCACACTCCATGCTGCCCACACTCCATGCTGCCCACACTCCATGCTGCCCACACTCCATGCTGCCCACACTCCATGCTGCCCACACTCCATGCTGCCCACACTCCATGCTGCCCACACTCCATGCTGCCCACACTCCATGCTGCCCACACTCCATGCTGCCCACACTCCATGCTGCCCACACTCCATGCTGCCCACACTCCATGCTGCCCACACTCCATGCTGCCCACACTCCATGCTGCCCACACTCCATGCTGCCCACACTCCATGCTGCCCACACTCCATGCTGCCCACACTCCATGCTGCCCACACTCCATGCTGCCCACACTCCATGCTGCCCACACTCCATGCTGCCCACACTCCATGCTGCCCACACTCCATGCTGCCCACACTCCATGCTGCCCACACTCCATGCTGCCCACACTCCATGCTGCCCACACTCCATGCTGCCCACACTCCATGCTGCCCACACTCCATGCTGCCCACACTCCATGCTGCCCACACTCCATGCTGCCCACACTCCATGCTGCCCACACTCCATGCTGCCCACACTCCATGCTGCCCACACTCCATGCTGCCCACACTCCATGCTGCCCACACTCCATGCTGCCCACACTCCATGCTGCCCACACTCCATGCTGCCCACACTCCATGCTGCCCACACTCCATGCTGCCCACACTCCATGCTGCCCACACTCCATGCTGCCCACACTCCATGCTGCCCACACTCCATGCTGCCCACACTCCATGCTGCCCACACTCCATGCTGCCCACACTCCATGCTGCCCACACTCCATGCTGCCCACACTCCATGCTGCCCACACTCCATGCTGCCCACACTCCATGCTGCCCACACTCCATGCTGCCCACACTCCATGCTGCCCACACTCCATGCTGCCCACACTCCATGCTGCCCACACTCCTGCTGCCCACACTCCATGCTGCCCACACTCCATGCTGCCCACACTCCATGCTGCCCACACTCCATGCTGCCCACACTCCATGCTGCCCACACTCCATGCTGCCCACACTCCATGCTGCCCACACGCCATGCTGCCCACACTCCATGCTGCCCACACTCCATGCTGCCCACACTCCATGCATGCCCACACTCCATGCTGCCCACTACTCCATGCTGCCCACACTCCATGCTGCCCACACTCCATGCTGCCCACACTCCATGCTGCCCACACTCCATGCTTGCCCACACTCCATGCTGCCCACACTCCATGCTGCCCACACTCCATGCTGCCCACACTCCATGCTGCCCACACTCCATGCTGCCACACTCCATGCTGCCCACACTCCATGCTGCCCACACTCCATGCTGCCCACACTCCATGCTGCCCACACTCCATGCTGCCCACACTCCATGCTGCCCACACTACCATGCTGCCCACACTCCATGCTGCCCACACTCCATGCTGCCCACACTCCATGCTGCCCACACTCCATGCTGCCCACACTCCATGCTGCCCACACTCCATGCTGCCCACACTCCATGCTGCCCACACTCCATGCTGCCCACACTCCATGCTGCCCACACTCCATGCTGCCCACACTCCATGCTGCCCACACTCCATGCTGCCCACACTCCATGCTGCCCACACTCCATGCTGCCCACACTCCATGCTGCCCACACTCCATGCTGCCCACACTCCATGCTGCCCACACTCCATGCTGCCCACACTCCATGCTGCCCACACTCCATGCTGCCCACACTCCATGCTGCCCACACTCCATGCTGCCCACACTCCATGCTGCCCACACTCCATGCTGCCCACACTCCATGCTGCCCACACTCCATGCTGCCCACACTCCATGCTGCCCACACTCCATGCTGCCCACACTCCATGCTGCCCACACTCCATGCTGCCCACACTCCATGCTGCCCACACTCCATGCTGCCCACACTCCATGCTGCCCACACTCCATGCTGCCCACACTCCATGCTGCCCACACTCCATGCTGCCCACACTCCATGCTGCCCACACTCCATGCTGCCCACACTCCATGCTGCCCACACTCCATGCTGCCCACACTCCATGCTGCCCACACTCCATGCTGCCCACACTCCATGCTGCCCACACTCCATGCTGCCCACACTCCATGCTGCCCACACTCCATGCTGCCCACACTCCATGCTGCCCACACTCCATGCTGCCCACACTCCATGCTGCCCACACTCCATGCTGCCCACACTCCATGCTGCCCACACTCCATGCTGCCCACACTCCATGCTGCCCACACTCCATGCTGCCCACACTCCATGCTGCCCACACTCCATGCTGCCCACACTCCATGCTGCCCACACTCCATGCTGCCCACACTCCATGCTGCCCACACTCCATGCTGCCCACACTCCATGCTGCCCACACTCCATGCTGCCCACACTCCATGCTGCCCACACTCCATGCTGCCCACACTCCATGCTGCCCACACTCCATGCTGCCCACACTCCATGCTGCCCACACTCCATGCTGCCCACACTCCATGCTGCCCACACTCCATGCTGCCCACACTCCATGCTGCCCACACTCCATGCTGCCCACACTCCATGCTGCCCACACTCCATGCTGCCCACACTCCATGCTGCCCACACTCCATGCTGCCCACACTCCATGCTGCCCACACTCCATGCTGCCCACACTCCATGCTGCCCACACTCCATGCTGCCCACACTCCATGCTGCCCACACTCCATGCTGCCCACACTCCATGCTGCCCACACTCCATGCTGCCCACACTCCATGCTGCCCACACTCCATGCTGCCCACACTCCATGCTGCCCACACTCCATGCTGCCCACACTCCATGCTGCCCACACTCCATGCTGCCCACACTCCATGCTGCCCACACTCCATGCTGCCCACACTCCATGCTGCCCACACTCCATGCTGCCCACACTCCATGCTGCCCACACTCCATGCTGCCCACACTCCATGCTGCCCACACTCCATGCTGCCCCCACACTCCATGCTGCCCACACTCCATGCTGCCCACACTCCATGCTGCCCACACTCCATGCTGCCCACACTCCATGCTGCCCACACTCCATGCTGCCCACACTCCATGCTGCCCACACTCCATGCTGCCCACACTCCATGCTGCCCACACTCCATGCTGCCCACACTCATGCTGCCCACACTCCATGCTCGCCCCACACTCCATGCTGCCCACACTCCATGCTGCCCACACTCCATGCTGCCCACACTCCATGCTGCCCACACTCCATGCTGCCCACACTCCATGCTGCCCACACTCCATGCTGCCCACACTCCATGCTGCCCACACTCCATGCTGCCCACACTCATGCTGCCCACACTCCCATTGCTGCCCACACTCCATGCTGCCCACACTCCATGCTGCCCACACTCCATGCTGCCACACTCCATGCTGCCCACACTCCATGCTGCCCACACTCCATGCTGCCACACTCCATGCTGCCCACACTCCATGCTGCCCACACTCCATGCTGCCCACACTCCATGCTGCCCACACTCCATGCTGCCCACGACTCCATGCTGTCCCACACTCCATGCTGCCCACACTCCATGCTGCCCACACTCCATGCTGCCCACACTCCATGCTGCCCACACTCCATGCTGCCCACACTCCATGCTGCCCACACTCCATGCTGCCCACACTCCATGCTGCCCACACTCCATGCTGCCCACACTCCATGCTGCCCACACTCCATGCTGCCCACACTCCATGCTGCCCACACTCCATGCTGCCCACACTCCATGCTGCCCACACTCCATGCTGCCCACACTCCATGCTGCCCACACTCCATGCTGCCCACACTCCATGCTGCCCACACTCCATGCTGCCCACACTCCATGCTGCCCACACTCCATGCTGCCCACACTCCATGCTGCCCACACTCCATGCTGCCCACACTCCATGCTGCCCACACTCCATGCTGCCCACACTCCATGCTGCCCACACTCCATGCTGCCCACACTCCATGCTGCCCACACTCCATGCTGCCCACACTCCATGCTGCCCACACTCCATGCTGCCCACACTCCATGCTGCCCACACTCCATGCTGCCCACACTCCATGCTGCCCACACTCCATGCTGCCCACACTCCATGCTGCCCACACTCCATGCTGCCCACACTCCATGCTGCCCACACTCCATGCTGCCCACACTCCATGCTGCCCACACTCCATGCTGCCCACACTCCATGCTGCCCACACTCCATGCTGCCCACACTCCATGCTGCCCACACTCCATGCTGCCCACACTCCATGCTGCCCACACTCCATGCTGCCCACACTCCATGCTGCCCACACTCCATGCTGCCCACACTCCATGCTGCCCACACTCCATGCTGCCCACACTCCATGCTGCCCACACTCCATGCTGCCCACACTCCATGCTGCCCACACTCCATGCTGCCCACACTCCATGCTGCCCACACTCCATGCTGCCCACACTCCATGCTGCCCACACTCCATGCTGCCCACACTCCATGCTGCCCACACTCCATGCTGCCCACACTCCATGCTGCCCACACTCCATGCTGCCCACACTTCCATGCTGCCCACACTCCATGCTGCCCACACTCCATGCTGCCCACACTCCATGCTGCCCACACTCCATGCTGCCCACACTCCATGCTGCCCCACACTCCATGCTGCCCACACTCCATGCTGCCCACACTCCATGCTGCCCCACACTCCATGCTGCCCACACTCCATGCTGCCCACACTCCATGCTGCCCACACTCCATGCTGCCCACACTCCATGCTGCCCACACTCCATGCTGCCCACCACTCCATGCTGCCCACACTCCATGCTGCCCACACTCCATGCTGCCCACACTCCATGCTGCCCACACTCCATGCTGCCCACACTCCATGCTGCACCACACTCCATGCTGCCCACACTCCATGCCTGCCCACACTCCATGCTGCCCACACTCCATGCTGCCCACACTCCATGCTGCCCACACTCCATGCTGCCCACACTCCATGCTGCCCACACTCCATGCTGCCCACACTCCATGCTGCCCACACTCCATGCTGCCCACACTCCATGCTGCCCACACTCCATGCTGCCCACACTCCATGCTGCCCACACTCCATGCTGCCCACACTCCATGCTGCCCACACTCCATGCTGCCCACACTCCATGCTGCCCACACTCCATGCTGCCCACACTCCATGCTGCCCACACTCCATGCTGCCCACACTCCATGCTGCCCACACTCCATGCTGCCCACACTCCATGCTGCCCACACTCCATGCTGCCCACACTCCATGCTGCCCACACTCCATGCTGCCCACACTCCATGCTGCCCACACTCCATGCTGCCCACACTCCATGCTGCCCACACTCCATGCTGCCCACACTCCATGCTGCCCACACTCCATGCTGCCCACACTCCATGCTGCCCACACTCCATGCTGCCCACACTCCATGCTGCCCACACTCCATGCTGCCCACACTCCATGCTGCCCACACTCCATGCTGCCCACACTCCATGCTGCCCACACTCCATGCTGCCCACACTCCATGCTGCCCACACTCCATGCTGCCCACACTCCATGCTGGCCCAACCTCCATGCTGCCCACACTCCATCGACTGCCCACACTCCATGCTGCCACACTCCATGCTGCCCACACTCCATGCTTGCCCACACTCCATGCTGCCCACACTCATGCTGCCCACCACTGTCCCTGCTGCCCACACTCCATGCTGCCCCACACTCCATGCTCTGCCCACACTCCATGCATGCCCACCACTCCATGCTGCCCACACTCCATGCTGCCCACACTCCATGCTGCCCCACACTCCATGCTGCCACACTCCATGTGCCCACACTCCATGCTGCCCACACTCCATGCTAGCCCACACTCCATGGCTGGCCCCACACTCCATGCTGCCCACACTCCATGCTTGCCCACACTCCATGCTGCCCACCACTCCTATGCTGCCCCCACTCCATGCTGCCCACACTCCATGCTGCCCACACTCCATGCTGCCCACACTCCATGCTGCCCACACTCCATGCTGCCCACACTCCATGCTGCCACACTCCATGCTGCCCACACTCCATGCTGCCCACACTCCATGCTGCCCACACTCCATGCTGCCCACACTCCATGCTGCCACACACTCCATGCTGCCCACACTCCATGCTGCCCACACTCCATGCTGCCCACACTCCATGCTGCCCACACTCCATGCTGCCCACACTCCATGCTGCCCACACTCCATGCTGCCCACACTCCATGCTGCCCACACTCCATGCTGCCCACACTCCATGCTGCCCACACTCCATGCTGCCCACACTCCATGCTGCCCACACTCCATGCTGCCCACACTCCATGCTGCCCACACTCCATGCTGCCCACACTCCATGCTGCCCACACTCCATGCTGCCCACACTCCATGCTGCCCACACTCCATGCTGCCCACACTCCATGCTGCCCACACTCCATGCTGCCCACACTCCATGCTGCCCACACTCCATGCTGCCCACACTCCATGCTGCCCACACTCCATGCTGCCCACACTCCATGCTGCCCACACTCCATGCTGCCCACACTCCATGCTGCCCACACTCCATGCTGCCCACACTCCATGCTGCCCACACTCCATGCTGCCCACACTCCATGCTGCCCACACTCCATGCTGCCCACACTCCATGCTGCCCACACTCCATGCTGCCCACACTCCATGCTGCCCACACTCCATGCTGCCCACACTCCATGCTGCCCACACTCCATGCTGCCCACACTCCATGCTGCCCACACTCCATGCTGCCCACACTCCATGCTGCCCACACTCCATGCTGCCCACACTCCATGCTGCCCACACTCCATGCTGCCCACACTCCATGCTGCCCACACTCCATGCTGCCCACACTCCATGCTGCCCACACTCCATGCTGCCCACACTCCATGCTGCCCACACTCCATGCTGCCCACACTCCATGCTGCCCACACTCCATGCTGCCCACACTCCATGCTGCCCACACTCCATGCTGCCCACACTCCATGCTGCCCACACTCCATGCTGCCCACACTCCATGCTGCCCACACTCCATGCTGCCCACACTCCATGCTGCCCACACTCCATGCTGCCCACACTCCATGCTGCCCACACTCCATGCTGCCCACACTCCATGCTGCCCACACTCCATGCTGCCCACACTCCATGCTGCCCACACTCCATGCTGCCCACACTCCATGCTGCCCACACTCCATGCTGCCCACACTCCATGCTGCCCACACTCCATGCTGCCCACACTCCATGCTGCCCACACTCCATGCTGCCCACACTCCATGCTGCCCACACTCCATGCTGCCCACACTCCATGCTGCCCACACTCCATGCTGCCCACACTCCATGCTGCCCACACTCCATGCTGCCCACACTCCATGCTGCCCACACTCCATGCTGCCCACACTCCATGCTGCCCACACTCCATGCTGCCCACACTCCATGCTGCCCACACTCCATGCTGCCCACACTCCATGCTGCCCACACTCCATGCTGCCCACACTCCATGCTGCCCACACTCCATGCTGCCCACACTCCATGCTGCCCACACTCCATGCTGCCCACACTCCATGCTGCCCACACTCCATGCTGCCCACACTCCATGCTGCCCACACTCCATGCTGCCCACACTCCATGCTGCCCACACTCCATGCTGCCCACACTCCATGCTGCCTCACACTCCATGCTGCCCACACTCCATGCTGCCCACACTGCCATGCTGCCCACACTCCATGCTTGCCCACACTGCCCATGCTGCCCACACTCAATGCTGCCCACACTCCATGCTGCCCACACTCCATGCTGCCCACGACTCCATGCTGCCCAACTACTCTCCAATGCTGGCCACACACTCCATGCTGCCACACTCCATGCCTGCCCACACTCCATGCTGCCCACACTCCATGCTGCCCACCTCCATGTGCTGCCCACACTCCATGCTGCCCACACTCCATGCTGCCTGGCCACAACTCCATGCTGCCCACACTCCATGCTGCCCACACTCCATGCTGCCCACACTCCATGCTGCCCACACTCCATGCTGCCCACACTCCATGCTGCCCACACTCCATGCTGCCACACTCCATGCTGCCCACACTCCATGCTGCCCACACTCCATGCTGCACCACACTCCATGCTGCCCACACTCCATGCTGCCCACACTCCATGCTGCCCACACTCCATGCTGCCCACACTCCATGCTGCCCACACTCCATGCTGCCCACACTCCATGCTGCCCACACTCCATGCTGCCCACACTCCATGCTGCCCACACTCCATGCTGCCCACACTCCATGCTGCCCACACTCCATGCTGCCCACACTCCATGCTGCCCACACTCCATGCTGCCCACACTCCATGCTGCCCACACTCCATGCTGCCCACACTCCATGCTGCCCACACTCCATGCTGCCCACACTCCATGCTGCCCACACTCCATGCTGCCCACACTCCATGCTGCCCACACTCCATGCTGCCCACACTCCATGCTGCCCACACTCCATGCTGCCCACACTCCATGCTGCCCACACTCCATGCTGCCCACACTCCATGCTGCCCACACTCCATGCTGCCCACACTCCATGCTGCCCACACTCCATGCTGCCCACACTCCATGCTGCCCACACTCCATGCTGCCCACACTCCATGCTGCCCACACTCCATGCTGCCCACACTCCATGCTGCCCACACTCCATGCTGCCCACACTCCATGCTGCCCACACTCCATGCTGCCCAACTCCATGCTGCCCACACTCCATGCTGCCCACACTCATGCTGCCCACACTCCATGCTGCCCACACTCCATGCTGCCCACACTCCATGCTGCCCACACTCCATGCTGCCCACACTCCATGCTGCCCACACTCCATGCTGCCCCACACTCCATGCTGCCCACTACTCCATGCTGCCACACTCCATGCTGCCCACACTCCATGCTGCCCACACTCCCATGCTGCCCACACTCCATGCTGCCCACACTCCATGCTGCCCACACTCCATGCTGCCCACACTCCATGCTGCCCACACTCCATGCTGCCCACACTCCATGCTGCCCACACTCCATGCTGCCCACACTCCATGCTGCCCACACTCCCATGCTGCCCACACTCCATGCTGCCCACACTCCATGCTGCCCACACTCCATGCTGCCCACACTCCATGCTGCCCACACTCCATGCTGCCCACACTCCATGCTGCCCACACTCCATGCTGCCCACACTCCATGCTGCCCACACTCCATGCTGCCCACACTCCATGCTGCCCACACTCCATGCTGCCCACACTCCATGCTGCCCACACTCCATGCTGCCCACACTCCATGCTGCCCACACTCCATGCTGCCCACACTCCATGCTGCCCACACTCCATGCTGCCCACACTCCATGCTGCCCACACTCCATGCTGCCCACACTCCATGCTGCCCACACTCCATGCTGCCCACACTCCATGCTGCCCACACTCCATGCTGCCCACACTCCATGCTGCCCACACTCCATGCTGCCCACACTCCATGCTGCCCACACTCCATGCTGCCCACACTCCATGCTGCCCACACTCCATGCTGCCCACACTCCATGCTGCCCACACTCCATGCTGCCCACACTCCATGCTGCCCACACTCCATGCTGCCCACACTCCATGCTGCCCACACTCCATGCTGCCCACACTCCATGCTGCCCACACTCCATGCTGCCCACACTCCATGCTGCCCACACTCCATGCTGCCCACACTCCATGCTGCCCACACTCCATGCTGCCCACACTCCATGCTGCCCACACTCCATGCTGCCCACACTCCATGCTGCCCACACTCCATGCTGCCCACACTCCATGCTGCCCACACTCCATGCTGCCCACACTCCATGCTGCCCACACTCCATGCTGCCCACACTCCATGCTGCCCACACTCCATGCTGCCCACACTCCATGCTGCCCACACTCCATGCTGCCCACACTCCATGCTGCCCACACTCCATGCTGCCCACACTCCATGCTGCCCACACTCCATGCTGCCCACACTCCATGCTGCCCACACTCCATGCTGCCCACACTCCATGCTGCCCACACTCCATGCTGCCCACACTCCATGCTGCCCACACTCCATGCTGCCCACACTCCATGCTGCCCACACTCCATGCTGCCCACACTCCATGCTGCCCACACTCCATGCTGCCCACACTCCATGCTGCCCACACTCCATGCTGCCCACACTCCATGCTGCCCACACTCCATGCTGCCCACACTCCATGCTGCCCACACTCCATGCTGCCCACACTCCATGCTGCCCACACTCCATGCTGCCCACACTCCATGCTGCCCACACTCCATGCTGCCCACACTCCATGCTGCCCACACTCCATGCTGCCCACACTCCATGCTGCCCACACTCCATGCTGCCCACACTCCATGCTGCCCACACTCCATGCTGCCCACACTCCATGCTGCCCACACTCCATGCTGCCCACACTCCATGCTGCCCACACTCCATGCTGCCCACACTCCATGCTGCCCACACTCCATGCTGCCCACACTCCATGCTGCCCACACTCCATGCTGCCCACACTCCATGCTGCCCACACTCCATGCTGCCCACACTCCATGCTGCCCACACTCCATGCTGCCCACACTCCATGCTGCCCACACTCCATGCTGCCCACACTCCATGCTGCCCACACTCCATGCTGCCCACACTCCATGCTGCCCACACTCCATGCTGCCCACACTCCATGCTGCCCACACTCCATGCTGCCCACACTCCATGCTGCCCACACTCCATGCTGCCCACACTCCATGCTGCCCAACACTCCATGCTGCCCACACTCCATGCTGCCCACACTCCATGCTGCCCACACTCCATGCTGCCCACACTCATGCTGCCCACACTCCATGCTGCCCACACTCCATGCTGCCCACACTCCATGCTGCCCACACTCCATGCTGCCCACACTCCATGCTGCCCACACTCCATGCTGCCACACTCCATGCTGCCCACACTCCATGCTGCCCACACTCCATGCTGCCCACACTCCATGCTGCCCACACTCCCATGCTGCCCACACTCCATGCTGCCCACACTCCATGCTGCCCACACTCCATGCTGCCCACACTCCATGCTGCCCACACTCCATGCTGCCCACACTCCATGCTGCCCACACTCCATGCTGCCCACACTCCATGCTGCCCACACTCCATGCTGCCCACACTCCCATGCTGCCCACACTCCATGCTGGCCCACACTCCATGCTGCCCACACTCCATGCTGCCCACACTCCATGCTGCCCAACACCTCCATGCTGCCCACACTCCATGCTGCCCACACTCCATGCTGCCCACACTCCATGCTGCCCACACTCCATGCTGCCCACACTCCATGCTGCCCACACTCCATGCTGCCCACACTCCATGCTGCCCACACTCCATGCTGCCACACTCCATGCTGCCCACACTCCATGCTGCCCACACTCCATGCTGCCCACACTCCATGCTGCCCACACTCCATGCTGCCCACACTCCATGCTGCCCACACTCCATGCTGCCCACACTCCATGCTGCCCACACTCCATGCTGCCCACACTCCATGCTGCCCACACTCCATGCTGCCCACACTCCATGCTGCCCACACTCCATGCTGCCCACACTCCATGCTGCCCACACTCCATGCTGCCCACACTCCATGCTGCCCACACTCCATGCTGCCCACACTCCATGCTGCCCACACTCCATGCTGCCCACACTCCATGCTGCCCACACTCCATGCTGCCCACACTCCATGCTGCCCACACTCCATGCTGCCCACACTCCATGCTGCCCACACTCCATGCTGCCCACACTCCATGCTGCCCACACTCCATGCTGCCCACACTCCATGCTGCCCACACTCCATGCTGCCCACACTCCATGCTGCCCACACTCCATGCTGCCCACACTCCATGCTGCCCACACTCCATGCTGCCCCACACTCCATGCTGCCCACACTCCATGCTGCCCACACTCCATGCTGCCCACACTCCATGCTGCCCACACTCCATGCTGCCCACACTCCCATGCTGCCCACACTCCATGCTGCCCCACACTCCATGCTGCCCACACTCCATGCTGCCCACACTCCATGCTGCCCACACTCCATGCTGCCCACACTCCATGCTGCCCACACTCCATGCTGCCCACACTCCATGCTGCCCACACTCCATGCTGCCCACACTCCATGCTGCCCACACTCCATGCTGCCCACACTCCATGCTGCCCCACACTCCATGCTGCCCACACTCCATGCTGCCCACACTCCATGCTGCCCACACTCCATGCTGCCCACACTCCATGCTGCCCACACTCCATGCTGCCCACACTCCATGCTGCCCACACTCCATGCTGCCCCACACTCCATGCTGCCCACACTCCATGCTGCCCACACTCCATGCTGCCCACACTCCATGCTGCCCACACTCCATGCTGCCCACACTCCATGCTGCCCACACTCCATGCTGCCCACACTCCATGCTGCCCACACTCCATGCTGCCCACACTCCATGCTGCCCACACTCCATGCTGCCCACACTCCATGCTGCCCACACTCCATGCTGCCCACACTCCATGCTGCCCACACTCCATGCTGCCCACACTCCATGCTGCCCACACTCCATGCTGCCCACACTCCATGCTGCCCACACTCCATGCTGCCCACACTCCATGCTGCCCACACTCCATGCTGCCCACACTCCATGCTGCCCACACTCCATGCTGCCCACACTCCATGCTGCCCACACTCCATGCTGCCCACACTCCATGCTGCCCACACTCCATGCTGCCCACACTCCATGCTGCCACACTCCATGCTGCCCACACTCCATGCTGCCCACACTCCATGCTGCCCACACTCCATGCTGCCCACACTCCATGCTGCCCACACTCCATGCTCGCCCACACTCCATGCTGCCCACACTCCATGCTGCCCACACTCCATGCTGCCCACACTCCCATGCTGCCCACACTCCATGCTGCCCACACTCCATGCTGCCCACACTCCATGCTGCCCACACTCCATGCTGCCCACACTCCATGCCTGCCCACACTCCATGCTGCCCACACTCCATGCTGCCCACACTCCATGCTGCCCACACTCCATGCTGCCCACACTCCATGCTGCCCACACTCCATGCTGCCCACACTCCATGCTGCCCACACTCCATGCTGCCCACACTCCATGCTGCCACACTCCATGCTGCCACACTCCATGCTGCCCACACTCCATGCTGCCCACACTCCATGCTGCCCCACTCCATGATGCCCACATCCATGCTGCCCACACTCCATGCTGCCCACACTCCATGCTGCCCACACTCCATGCTGCCCACACTCCATGCTGCCCACACTCCATGCTGCCCACACTCCATGCTGCCCACACTCCATGCTGCCCACACTCCATGCTGCCCACACTCCATGCTGCCCACACTCCATGCTGCCCACACTCCATGCTGCCCACACTCCATGCTGCCCACACTCCATGCTGCCCACACTCCATGCTGCCCACACTCCATGCTGCCCACACTCCATGCTGCCCACACTCCATGCTGCCCACACTCCATGCTGCCCACACTCCATGCTGCCCACACTCCATGCTGCCCACACTCCATGCTGCCCACACTCCATGCTGCCCACACTCCATGCTGCCCACACTCCATGCTGCCCACACTCCATGCTGCCCACACTCCATGCTGCCCACACTCCATGCTGCCCACACTCCATGCTGCCCACACTCCATGCTGCCCACACTCCATGCTGCCCACACTCCATGCTGCCCACACTCCATGCTGCCCACACTCCATGCTGCCCACACTCCATGCTGCCCACACTCCATGCTGCCCACACTCCATGCTGCCCACACTCCATGCTGCCCACACTCCATGCTGCCCACACTCCATGCTGCCCACACTCCATGCTGCCCACACTCCATGCTGCCCACACTCCATGCTGCCCACACTCCATGCTGCCCACACTCCATGCTGCCCACACTCCATGCTGCCCACACTCCATGCTGCCCACACTCCATGCTGCCCACACTCCATGCTGCCCACACTCCATGCTGCCCACACTCCATGCTGCCCACACTCCATGCTGCCCACACTCCATGCTGCCCACACTCCATGCTGCCCACACTCCATGCTGCCCACACTCCATGCTGCCCACACTCCATGCTGCCCACACTCCATGCTGCCCACACTCCATGCTGCCCACACTCCATGCTGCCCACACTCCATGCTGCCCACACTCCATGCTGCCCACACTCCATGCTGCCCACACTCCATGCTGCCCACACTCCATGCTGCCCACACTCCATGCTGCCCACACTCCATGCTGCCCACACTCCATGCTGCCCACACTCCATGCTGCCCACACTCCATGCTGCCCACACTCCATGCTGCCCACACTCCATGCTGCCCACACTCCATGCTGCCCACACTCCATGCTGCCCACACTCCATGCTGCCCACACTCCATGCTGCCCACACTCCATGCTGCCCACACTCCATGCTGCCCACACTCCATGCTGCCCACACTCCATGCTGCCCACACTCCATGCTGCCCACACTCCATGCTGCCCACACTCCATGCTGCCCACACTCCATGCTGCCCACACTCCATGCTGCCCACACTCCATGCTGCCCACACTCCATGCTGCCCACACTCCATGCTGCCCACACTCCATGCTGCCCACACTCCATGCTGCCCACACTCCATGCTGCCCACACTCCATGCTGCCCACACTCCATGCTGCCCACACTCCATGCTGCCCACACTCCATGCTGCCCACACTCCATGCTGCCCACACTCCATGCTGCCCACACTCCATGCTGCCCACACTCCATGCTGCCCACACTCCATGCTGCCCACACTCCATGCTGCCCTTCCTCACCTCCTTTCCTTCACTCTAACGTTACCCCCCCCAAACCTCCAACCTCTTCCTCCATGCTGCAGGTTCACAGAGGCACATGAGGAGAGGGAGCGGGCGGCACTGAGGAAGAAGAAGCAGCGGGCGGGGCGGTGCGGCAGCCAGGGGAAGGACATCCACATATTGGCTGTCATCGGCACGCAGTGGGTGGTGCGGCAGGCAGAGGGTGTTGTGGCAGACAGAGGGTGGTGTGGCCGGCAGCAGTGTGATCCTAGAGTTGTGTGCTCTTCCACTTGTCCTCACTGCACCCTTCCACATCCCGTCGCCCACATGGCCAGCCTGGATCGCTTTGTCTCAGTCAGTCATCTGGCCCTTTCCTCCATACGCCATTCTCTGCCTCTCCTCCTACCATAGCCTCAGTCAACCCACTGCCCCCACCTGCGCCCTCTCCATCCCCCATACTGCACTATGACAACACTGTAGTGGTCCAACCAAAGCCACCTGCTGCATTGCCCCAACCCCTTTTTCCTCTGCACAACCCTCTCAATGCACTTCCCATCCCCCCTCCCGCTCATCCCCCTCTTCTCCCCCTGGCTGTCGAGCAAGTCGGACGGGGCCATAGTGATCCAGGCGGGAGCGCCGGCCCCAGAGGGCGAGAAGGCAGCGCGGGCCATCATGCGCGCCACGCTGAGCTTTCAGCACGGGGTGCTGTTTAGGCGGCGGCAGCGGTCGGTGGCGGCTCTGGGGTTTGTAGACCCCAAGGCGCTCAAGGTGGCAGGACAGTGGCGCGCCCACAAGCACCTCGTGGCCGGATGTGCTGGCACGTAGGGGGGTGTGGGGGCGCGGAGGGCGGGCGGCAATGTCAGAATGTGTTATTTGTCTAGTCTGCAGTGGGGTACTCTATAGTGAGTACAGCCCTGTTAGGGTTTGCTATATGTATCCCATTGTTTGCTAGTGAAACCCCTCTTCTGCTGTTCTATTCCTTCTTGCTATTTTGACATGCTATCAGAGCATCTACGCTCCTGGCCTGTGGGCCCACTTGCTTCCGCTACTGTACTATCTGTCGCGCGCCCCGTGACGCGCGACGTTTTTTCTTCCCGCCACGCGCTCGGGGCGCGTGGCGGTTTTCTGCCTGCCACGCGCTCGGGGCGCATGGCGGTTTCCTGCCCGCCGCGCGCCTGGTTTTCTGCTCGGTGCGTCGCCCACCTGACCCGCGCCCCGCCCTGTGGGACCCGCGCGCCGCCCCAGCTGGACCCGTGCGCTGCCCTGCTGGACCCGCGCGACGCTCTGCGGGACCCGCGCGCCGCCCCCACTGGACCCGCGCGACGCCCTGCGGGCTCGCGCGCTGCCCCGCTGGACCCGCGCGACGCCCTGCGGGACCCGCGCGCTGCCCCACTGGACCCGCGCGCCGCCCTTGGGGACCCGCGCGCCGCCCCTCCTGGACCCGCCTGCCGCCCCTCCTGGACCCGCCTGCCGCCCGCGCCCTGCCCGTTGCGAGCGCCCCACAGTCCGCCCGCGCCCTGCACGTCGCGACGCCGCCTGCCCTTCCCCCTCCTCCTTCGACTTCCTGCTGCGCGTGCAGCCGTGTGGAGGGTATGGGGGTGGCGGGGGTAAGGGGGGGTATGGGGGTGGTGGGAGTGCGTGACCAGCTGCCCCTCCTCCTCCTCCGTCTCCCACTGCTGCAGCTGCCGCTGAGGGGGGTGGGTGTGTGGGAGCCGAGGGAGTGGCGCTTGGGGGGTGTCGTGGGAGTGGAGCTAGGGGTGCAGCAAGGGGTGTGTGAAAGGGGTGTGAGACAGTTGGGGGAGGTTGAACGGAGGTAGCTATCGTGACGCCAGCAGCGCCAGTAGTCCGGGGGTCACCCTTGCTCCGGTAGCCCAGCGAGCCTGCTGCGCCAGTCGTCCGTGGGTCCGTTGCTCCAGCCGCTCATCTTAGCCGCGGAGCCAGTGACTCCAGTAGTCTGGATACCCTTGCTTGTGTCAGGTAGCCACCGTGCGCGCCGCTCTTGTTTGCCCGTGTGTCTGCGGCTTCATCCGTCGCCTCCTATCTCCACTCCTCTCACAGTCCCTCCTCCTCCTCACTTGCCCTCTATGACTGCCTCTAGCTTTGCTTGTGCTTTTGAACTTCTTATGCGACTGCTTGCTGTGCTGATTATACCTCACTTTGCCTATGGGGGTGTGTCAGAATGTGTTATTTGTCTAGTCTGCAGTAGGGTACTCTATAGTGAGTATAGCCCTGTTAGGGTTTGCTATATGTATCCCATTGTTTGCTAGTGAAATTCCTCTTCTGCTGTTCTATTCATGCTTGCTATTTTGAAGGGATGCTGTGCAGTGTGGGTGGGAGTTTGAGGGAGGCCAACGGGAGAAGAGGCGAAGGGAGGTGGTATGGTGGTGGAGCAGAATGATCATGGAGTTGGATTCAGAGCAGGCTGGCCAGATCTCCACTGTAGCTACCGTCCCAATTGGTCCCAACATGCCTCTATTGGTCTCGACATGCCTGTATTTGTCCCGACATGCCTCTATTGGAATAGGTCCCGATTGCACACTGAGAACACATGGTGGTGGTGGGCTACATACGGCCGCAAGGTCGGATGCAAGTATGCATACTGTTTTGCATCGATAGAGCAGAGGAAGGGAATTTCTAAAAACATTCTTTCATTTGGCTTCTGGCATTCATGACGTACTGACTTTTGGAAACATTGCATTCCTTGCCTGATTTGCATCCGTCAGCCACAAATGGATTACCGTCACCCCCCGGATATAAACGCTGGCCTCGGATAAGCGCCCGGCGCTTATAATGAGCATATGGTGCTTATATCCGGTCCTCGATTTTAAGCGCATACTTTTGGGCTTACGGATTATAAGCGCATACTTCTGGCTTACAGATTGTCAGTGCCACCCTGTTTTTAATGATTTTACTAATTAGCATGTTTTCAATCTACTTTACATCACAGTAGTTCACTAAACAATTTCATATCTACGGCTACTTTCTAAAACATACAAGACATCTACCTACGAGGGCCAAACACAGGCTACAGAAGATGTCCTACATCTACTCTAGTTATCAACTGCGGTGGGGTCATCTGGGTCTCGGAGTCCGACTCAGGCTCCTCAACATTGTTGTAGCAGAACCCATCTGCTGCAATCTCTTCATCCATCTCGACTTCGCCCTCGAGCTCGTCCCGCCTGTGTTGCAGGCAGAGCTTGTCCTGGGACCCATCCAGGGCGTTGCTGATGCCGCAGGTGAGAAATGCCCATTGGAAATTGCAGCAAGTTTCAACAGCACCTGTATTGGTGGCATAAAAGAAAAAATTCTAGCAGCTAAACGGGCAGGCATTAAGGAAATCATCCTAAGTGCTGGGAATAAAAAAGATGTCCAGGAGATTAAATTAAGCTATCTAACAGGAATCACCTTCCATTATGTACTTACCGTTGAAGGAGTAATTTCGTCTGCTTTGCAGAAACAAGTGGCCAAAAATGCGATACGGCTATTGTAGGAGTTACGGCAATTGTAGAGTTCCTTGGGCACGGACTTTAACTTGAGCGTCGGCTCAGGTGGTGGCTTCTTTATATTACCTGCCATGAAATACAAGACAACAAGAGTCAGAAGGGTTAATAAAACCGGTAAACAAACAAACACATGGGCGGCATGTCTCACCTTTCACCGTCAAAGTGTTGACCCCCTCGCTCTCGAACCAGTCCTGGTAGAGCTGCCGAATTGCACCCTTGAAGGATTGATTCGAGGGGTTGAATCTCCGAGGTGCAGCCAGCTGGGATTACAACAGGGACAATATTCAGCTCGTCGAACTTCTGCTTCACCTCCGCAGTCAGGTGCCCACGGTACGAGTCCAGGACGAGCAGCGCTTTGCGGGGGCGGGCACCGAACATACACCGCATGCGCGCTCTCCAGCTCAGTTTTCCGGGTCTTCCACTCTGCGAGTGACCTTTAGGAGATGCTGGATTCGTGGGACATCCTCCGCACACTCATCTCCCCATATTCAAGCTTCAGGATCCACTGCAGCTTCTCCTGGGAGGTATACGAATGGCGCTTGTAAGTTGTTGGCTTGTGCCTGGGGGAGGGAGGACGGGCATCGCGATTCTCTCGGGAAGGGTGGGGCCGTTTTTTATTAGGAGGGGTGGGAATAGGCAGGTGCTCGGAAAGACCGTCGGCAACCCAGAACTCCACATCGTCTTCGGCACCAGTCGCGGATTCGTCCAACGGGCAATCAGCCGGGGTTCCCCAGCCTGGCGACGGGGTCGATTTTGTATTGGCGGCGGGTGTGTCGCACAAACTTCCAGAAGTTCCTGACATCCCCCCTCGTAGTCTGGGAGTATGGATGGGGGAAAGGAGAGAAACAACAAACACAAGATGAGAGAGACGTGATGGAAGATTAAAATTTGACGAGAGCACAAAGGAATCACCACATAACACAAAACCGTTAACGACCGTTAAGCTTTTGGCCGACCCTGGTCTTCGCTCGGGTTGTCAGGTTCTAGCGTCGGCGAAAGCGCTCGATCTACCGCTGAGAGCCGGCCCACTTTTCACCTGGATGTAGTTCTTTCATCGCCTCGTGCGACCACTTCTGCAGGCGTGCCACCGAGACGGCTAGACACTTCTTACGGTGGGCAAAATACTTCCTGTAGACTTCTGCTTCCACATCGTGGTACCACGAGCTCCTTCCGCGACCATGAAGGCGCTTGCGAGCCGCATGCGTGCTCTCCAGCTCAGTTTTCCGGGTCTTCCACTCTGCGAGTGACCTTCAGGAGATTCCGGATTCGCGGGACATCCTCCGCACACTCATCTCCCCAGATTCAAGCTTCAGGATCCACTGCAGCTTCTCCTGGGAGGTATACGAATGGCGCTTGTGAGTTGTTGGCTTGTGCCTGGGGGAGGGAGGACGGGCATCACGATTCTCTCAGGAAGGGTGGGGCCGTTTTTTATTAGGAGGGGTGGGAATAGGCAGGTGCTCGGGAAGACCGTCGGCAACCCAGAGCTCCACATCGTCTTCGGCACCAGTCGCGGATTCGTCCAACGGGCAATCAGCCGGGGTTCCCCAGCCTGGCGACGATGCGGAGGAAGATGCTTCGGCGCCGCTGCGGTCGGGCTCGGGCAGGTAAGCATCGAACGCTGAGTAGCCATGAGGGAGGAGAAGCTGCAGAACCCCCTGATGTGGAACGCCGATGACAGGCGGATCAGGAGGGGACCGAAGAGCGGGAGGAACGGGAGGCGCCGGGGGAGTGGGAGGGTTAGGAGGCGTTGGAGGAGTGAGAGGAACGGGAGGCACGACTGGGTGTGTTGGAGGGACGGGCGCAGGGCGCCTCTACCATTGCGAATACTCGCGGTTGTCTGTAGCAGCAGGTTGGCGGCGGAACAGGAAGTGCGTGCCTGGAAGGCCCGCCATGGCCACGGCAAGCCAAACGAAAGAACAAAACTGGAGAGAATGTGGAGAATGAGGGCCGTATGAAACCCTCGCCCGAGACCCCTCCAGTTTCGCGGCCCGGCCTCCTCTACGGGGAAGGGGTAGCCACAGTTAAGATTCCCCGCAGAGGAGCTGAGCTGGTCAGCTCTTTGCCTCGGTGGGGGGGAATCTTGCTCTGGATGGGCACGTTGTGGCTGTACCATGACGTGCCCTGGACCGCATGCAACCCTGATTGGGCAGTCGTGATCCGAACTGCGTGTGCGCTGGCATGGGCCATGTTTACGTTCGATGAACCTGGCCTGGCCAACAAGGCGTGGTTTACCTTTTCACGCGGAATTCATGCACTGTTTCGAACGTTCTCGATTCAGGTGAATCCACCATTCAAAACGCTTCGTTTTCGTGTATAAACAAAATCATTTCATTAATGCCATTATATTAACCTCGGCGCTTATAAAATTCCTCGATTATAAGCCCACCCCTCTAATAAAACCTGTTTTATCATACCCCCAAGGGCGGGCTTGTCCGGGGGGTGAGGGTATGGTAGGTTAAGTAGGGTAGCGGTAGCTACAATGACGAATGAATCAAAGCAGCAGTTGCTTGCAACGAATAAATCAAAGCAGCAGTTGCTAGTAATGAATGATCAAAGCAGCAGTTGCTAATAATGAAGGGACCGGCAACCCATAGGAGAGCAGCTGCTGGGGTCCATGCTGCTAAGCCACCCCCAATAAGGAAGGCGGCAAGGACAGGAACATCCGGTCCCCCGCCACATGGAGTCAAGGTGGTGCTGTGCTACACCTGAAGCGGCAGCACGAGGTGGGGGGGGATGTGGGCGAGCGATGGTGGCAGGGTGTGCAGCACGCACCCGAAGCCCCTGAGCTGAGCACCATAGTGCTGCGCCACCCTGCCCTGCGCACACACCTCCACGCCCTTCCCCCAATCTGCTGCGCCCTCCCCTCCCTCTGCCAAAACCGCGTCCTCACTGCCTGCAGTGCGCGTTGCCACGAGCGTCATCCGTCCCTGCCACCGTTGCCCCTGCCCGCCCTCCACGGTGGCCTGGCCGCTGTCTTCCCCCCCCTGCTCCCCCTCCTCCCTGCTGCCCACGTGCCACCGCTTCACCACCTTCCACTCCCCTGCCTCGCCTGCCCCACACGTCCTGCTGCCTCCCTCTGCACTCATGCGCTCTTGCTCCTCACCCAAGCCCTCCTTGCCCGAGCAGCTGCTCACACCAAGGCAGCACACGCACGCGTCATTCGAGCCATGGGCATGCTCCATCAACACACGTGCCTCGCCGCGCGACAGATGAGCGCGACGTGGACGGCAGGGCAGCAGCAGGCGCAGGCAGTCAGAGACGATGCCGTCGTGCCCGTCATCACGCCCAGAGCTGTGCAGAAACGCCACCTGCACCACACGCCATGCGTGGGATGGGTTGCTGTCACATGCGTGGGAGGGGCTGGATCCGGTGGACAGTGGTGGAGTGTGGTGGTGTGGGTGCCATAGCTTGGCGTGGGTGACGATGCCGACATGTGTGGCACGTGTCGTGCCGAAGAACACCTGCCAGCCGGTGAGGCATGCACCATGGGAAGGTGAGCGGCAGCGGCAGGTGATCTATTAGTCGATTACACAAAACAAAAGGAAGCGGGTGTGCCAGCAGAGTGGCGATGCATCAGTCGGGTGCTGTGCGGTGTGAGGTACGTATGGTGAGTTGGGAGGGTGTGGAAACAGATGTGTGGCACAGATGGGGACAGGTGAGAGGCGAGGGAAGAGGCGAGGGAAGAGGCAGGGGTTGCAGTGGGATGGCGTACCAGATCGCCTCGAGCGATGCGGTCCACACAGACTGGCTCACAGAAGGCCTCCTGCACGCATGGCGGGGAGAGAAGGGTGCGGAGTGAGGCAAGGAAGGCGGGTGAGAGCAAAGATGAGCACGCAGTGTGGAAGGTGAGTGGCGTGGAGGATGAGGGCCATGAGGAGGTGCCTCCCCATGAGTGGAAGCAGACGCACTGACCTGCTGAAAGGCGTCTCGCGGCACCCACACTCCAGCCGATGCATATGCTCGCTGCACTGCATGCCACCATGCCATCACACCCACCATGCCACCACACCCACCATGCCACCACACCCACCATGCCACAAGGCATCCACGAAGAAAAATCCAGAAGAGAAGGACGAGAGAAAGTCGAGCTTTCGTAGGAAAGAGCAGTTGCTGCAAGCAGTGGCATGGCAGTTGAGCACAGAATAGCCGCAGCACAGCATGCCATAGCAGTGCACACAGGAGAAGCAACCACCGCCCTCACCCGGCGATACACACAGGCGATGGCAGACGAATGAGAGCGCACAGCATGAGCACTCGCCTCACACTCAGCCAGCTTGCATGGTGCGCTACAGCCGTGCCACACATCGCTACCGCCCTGCTGCTGCGACCACTTGTGAGTCACACGTCACGTGGTCAAAGGGTGACAGGGTGATAGGGTCACGGGTCGGGGGCAGCGTTGCCACCCGGCGCACTTCCTTAGCTTTTCCACCGCAACCACCGCAACCACTGCAGCCAAGGCAGCTGCGCTCTGCGCTCCGCGCTGTGCGCGTGGGGCGGCGCCATGAGGCAAGGCGAGAGGCAAGGGGAGGCACGCACCGAGCCCGCTGCAGTCGAAGTGCGGCCCCGTGGTGCCGCCCCACAGGTACCGGTCGCCCTCCGCCCTCGCCGCCTCCGCGAATGCAACCGCCGCCTCTCTCTCCCCCGCCAAGTCCGCCTCTTCCTCCACGCCCACCCCCATGTCCCCATTCTCTGCCGTGCCTCCGCCTTCACACTCCCCTCCTCCGCCCTTCCGCCTGTCCCTATACCCCGCATCGCCTGCCTCTCGCGTTTCACTCTCTGAGCCAATGGACAAGCGACGGATGGCGCCTTCCGCCACGTCAGCAGCCGATATCCACCCGGGATACGCGTCCTCGCACAAGCGGATCGGAATGGCGCCCCGCGCCACGTCGGACCCCAACGGTCGCTGTGCCACGTGGGAGCCGGAATGAACGGCCGCGATGTCCGAATCACAAAGGCGGGGTTCGATCGAGGCGGCGGCGAGAGCGACGAGGCGGCGGCCCGTCCACGCCTGCGTGGCGAGGCGCGTGCAGCGCGGCGAGTCGAAGACGTCGAGCCGCGGGTGCGCCACCTCGAATAGATGGTGGTCCGTCTGCGACAAGAGCACGATCGTCGCCGCATCCATGGCGGTCCAAGTCAGGCGACGCGAGGTGAGGCGAGGCGAGGGGAGGCGGAACAGAAGCCAGTAGGGTGAAACGCGGGAGTGTGACGGAACGGGATGGATAAGAGCACGGTGCTGCGTCCGCCGCATGACACGGCTCTGCTGCTTTGCTGCTTCACTCAGGCGTGGAACAAGTAGCGGTCAGGCAGGGTTGCGCGTGATCACTGATCGCCGAACGTGCGCCTGGTCAAGGGCAATTCGAATTAGGGCGCGGAACATTTGTATTTAAACAAGTGGTTACATGTTGAAATGAACGTTGTAATGCCAACAGAACAGCTCCACTATCTACAGTTTCTTTGCCACTTTACCGAAACATGTTATATTCGCGATATAACCGGGGTACCACTATTTAGCGTCTTTAGAAATTTCGCCCAAATCCGCCATCCACATTTTGGCGCCTCGCCGTTGGGTGATCGGTCGTGCTCTCGGTTCGCATCTCGACACGATCGGATTCCATTCAATCGTCCCATTCCTCAACACATGTAGCTTCGTTTTAAAACTATATCTGTTACAGTCATGGTAACCCCGAAACTACCTGCAGGTCCTCAATCGAATCTGCCGAGCTCCCGCGCCCGAAACCAACAACAAAACCCTCACCCCAGCTTTTCTTTGTCAAACATCAATTGTGTTGAACAATCAGCAACACACGGTTACCAGCCACCACGACAGCGGCGAGCAATGCAGGGCGACGAATCGGACGGCGCGATCGCGGGCGAGAGAGTGGCCGCGCTGAGAGCGGTGCAAGCGCGCCGGCAGGAGCTGCTGCAGGCGCTGCGAGCGTTGGATGAGGAAGATCGACGGTTGAGACTAGGCGAGGGGCGAGAGACGGAGGGGCGAGAGCCGGAAGGGGAGAGACGGAGAGAAGGGGGAGACGACGGAAAGCGAAAGCCGGAAACTCAGGAAGCGGAATGTGGGGAAGCGGGCGGAGGGAAGCGCAGCGGCGGAGTGGAGAGCGCGAGCGGAGCGGAATCGAATGCGCGCTCGCCGGCTGCTGACGGCCCCGCGATTGGGGCGGCGGAGGGGGGGAATGGGGATAGAGACGATAGCGGGTTACCAAAGGGGGGCGCGGAACTTGAGGGAGCGGGGGCGGAAGCGGCCGGCGGGGTGGGTGAGGGGGGGCGCAGCTTCGAGGCGGAGCACGCGTTGAGCGCGCGGGAGGTGCAGCGCTACTCGCGGCAGCTCATGCTGCCGTCGTTCGGCGTCGCAGGTGCGCGTGGCAAGTTACACTGCCTCTCACTACCTCTCACTGCCTCTCACTGCCTCTCACTGCCTCTGCACATTCTTCTGGCCGCCATTTCTCTACCCTCTGCCTCCCTTCCCTATCCCCAACCCGAAGCCCTTCCCCCGGCCCCCCTCCCCCCTCTTCCCCCTGACCACACCAGCGCAGCAGCGGCTGAGGCGCGGGTCAGTGCTGGTGGTGGGCGCGGGCGGGCTGGGGTCGCCGGCTGCACTCTACCTGGCGGCGTGCGGCGTGGGTGCGTGGAGGGGGGCGATGGGTGGGGGCAGTGAGGGTGGTGAGGGCAGGGGGCAGGGCGAGTGGGGGGACAGTGCGGGCGGGTAGTGGGGGCAGTGGGCGAGTGTGACGTGGATGTTGGTGGTTGCTGCAGGTGGCACCGTGTTATGGTGCTGGTTGGCTTGCGGGACGGCGAGTGGGCGCTCCATGCCTGTGCAATGACGTGCTCACCCTTCCGTGTCTCCTCTCTTGCTCACTCCCAGTGTAACACGTTGTGTTCTCATGCATCCCACATGCCATTCCACACGCATTGCTGCTCGCCCGGTGCGTGTTTTGCTGTGGCATGGCACGGAATGGCATGGCATGCAGGGCGCATAGGCATCGTGGACAGGGATGACGTGGAGCTGTCCAACCTGCACAGACAGGTGAGATGAAACGCACAGGCAGGCGAGATGAAACGCACAGACAGGTGAGATGAAACGCACAGACAGGTGAGATGAAACGCAGGCAGGTGAGATGAAACGCAGGCAGGTGAGATGAAACGCAGGCAGGTGAAATGATAAGAACAGGCAGAAAGCCGTTTCACTCTTTCACAGTTGCTGTGCGTCAAATACTTGCTTGCCTTGGCGCTTCCCTGTGCTCTCTCATCCGTTGCATGCCTCCACTCACCCCTTGCCCCATCAACCGTTCCCCATGCGGCCTCCACTGCCCTCTTTGCCTGCCTGTCTGTGGGTGAGGGGTGCAGATCATCCATTCGGAGGCGGCAGTTGGTCGCCCCAAGACAGAGTCTGCTGCTGCTGCCTGCACCAGGTAATGCTGAGCTGGCACAAGGTGATACTGAGCTGGCACAAGGTGGTGCCGAGCTGACACCAGGTGATGCTGAGCTGGCACCAGGTGATGCTGAGCTGGCACCAAGTGAGGTTGTGCTGGCAGCAGGTGGCAGCTTGAAAATTTTATGTGTGTCTGGCAAGTGAGTGGAGAGCACAATGATAACCCGCCCACTGAGAGCACAATGATGACCCCGCCCACTGAGCGCACAATGATGACCCGCCCACTGAGCGCACAATGATGACCCGCCCACTGAGCGCGGCACAACATGGGGCACGGGGCATGGGTTGGGCCTCGTCTCTTCTGAGGCGGCCATGGCTGCTGTTCATCACAGCTGTGCATGAGAGCATGTGGTGTGTGCGTGGTTGTGTGTGTATGTGTCGGTGCATGGGTTGTGGATGGGTGGCTGCATGCATGCGTGCATGCATGGGGGAGCAGGTTGAATTCGGACATCACAGTGGAGACGCACAGCCACGGCTTCACACCCGCCAATGCCGTCCACCTCGTTTCCAGGTATCCCCTCTCCAGGTATTCCCTCTCCAGGTATCCCCTCTCCAGGTATTCCCTCTCCAGGTATCCCCTCTCCAGGTATTCCCTCTCCAGGTATCCCCTCTCCAGGTATTCCCTCTCCAGGTATCCCCTCTCCAGGTATTCCCTCTCCAGGTATTCCCTCTCCCCGCCATGCCTCTCCCCGCCATGCCTCTCCCCGCCATGCCTCTCCCCGCCATGCCTCTCCCCGCCATGCCTCTCCCCGCCATGCCTCTCCCCGCCATGCCTCTCCCCGCCATGCCTCTCCCCGCCATGCCTCTCCCCGCCATGCCTCTCCCCGCCATGCCTCTCCCCGCCATGCCTCTCCCCGCCATGCCTCTCCCCGCCATGCCTCTCCCCGCCATGCCTCTCCCCGCCATGCCTCTCCCCGCCATGCCTCTCCCCGCCATGCCTCTCCCCGCCATGCCTCTCCCCGCCATGCCTCTCCCCGCCATGCCTCTCCCCGCCATGCCTCTCCCCGCCATGCCTCTCCCCGCCATGCCTCTCCCCGCCATGCCTCTCCCCGCCATCCCTCTCCCCGCCATCCCTCTCCCCGCCATGCCTCTCCCCGCCATGCCTCTCCCCGCCATGCCTCTCCCCGCCATGCCTCTCCCCGCCATGCCTCTCCCCGCCATGCCTCTCCCCGCCATGCCTCTCCCCGATCCCTCTCCCCGCCATCCCTCTCCCCGCCATGCCTCTCCCCGCCATGCCTCTCCCCGCCATGCCTCTCCCCATCATGCCTTTTTCCGCCCCACTGTCCCACATGCATCACAAACACACCACCCGCTCATTCACACCCCCTCGTCCAGCCTTTGCTCCCACTTCCCTCCCTCCCTCCCTCCCTCCCTCCCTCCCTCCCTCCCTCCCTCCCTCCCTCCCTCCCTCCCTCCCTCCCTCCCTCCCTCCCTCCCTCCCTACCTACCTACCTACCGCCCTCCCTCTCTCCTTCCTGTTCTCCCTCGCGTTCTGACCGTCCTGCTGCCCGCACCTCCGCATGGCGTGTGAAGCAGCGCAGCGCCATCTGAGTGCGTCATTCCCTCATTCCATCTCGCCCACACCTGCTCAGCTCCACACCATGTCCCACGTTCTCCCTCCCTCCATACCTCCTATATACCTACCTCCTTACCTACCTCCTGCCGCCCTCATGCCTCCCTCATCCGTCCTCATCACCCCCATCTCCGCCATCCGCCCTGCCCCACCCATCCGCCATCCGCCCTGCCCCACCCATCCGCCATCCGCCCTGCCCCACCCATCCGCCATCCGCCCTGCCCCATCCGCCATCCGCCATGGCAGGTACGACGTGCTGCTGGACGCGTCTGACAACGTGGCCACGCGCTACCTCGCCAGCGACGCTGCCGTCGCCGCCTGCAAGGTGTGAGGCCGCCACACGGGTGAGCGCAAGGTGTGAGGCCGCCACACGGGTGAGCGCAGTGGGAGAGTGCAGCATTGCGGTGAGTGAGCTGATATTGAACTTGGAAGTGGTAGGTGGCGCAGGCATGCTAGGCGAGAGCAGATAGCATCAAGTGAGCGTCGCACCGCTGCTGTTCCATGCTCTTTCCATCTTCCTCCAACTGGACATCTTCCTCCAACTGGACATCTTCCTCCAACTGGACATCTGAGTTGCCATGCTCTGGGTACACTTTATGTGTGTTCATCTTCACACTCTCACCGTCTTGGCAACCCCCTGCCGCCCGCCTTGTGTGCGTGCCTCACGTCTCTCCTGCGCCCCCCCTGTGCCCGGGTGCAGCCACTCGTGTCAGGAGCAGCGCTGGGCACTGAAGGCCAGGTGAGGCGCACAAGGCCAGGTGAGGCGCACAAGGCCAGGTGAGGCGCACAAGGGCGGGCAGGTGGTGCGGGGAGGTGGATGGGTTTGGTTTGGAGGAGGGTAAGGGATGGGGGATGGGGGCATGGAGAGGTGGGGCAGGCGGGAGGGCTGTCAGGGGGGCTGCAAGCGGGGCTGCCAGGGGGGCTGGCGGGAGGGCTTGGGTGCGGTTAGCAAGGCAGGGTGAAGGCGGGAGTGTGGGAGGTGTGGGTTGGGGGCAGGCGTGGGTGGAGAGCAGCAGCGCACTCTGAGGCTGCCCCTTTGTTTCTTCCCAGCCTTACCTCCTTGCCGCTTCCTGCCGTTCGCAACAGCCGGATAGACAAACTCTTTCTCTCCCTGTTCCTCTCCTGACTCTTTCTCCTCTTTTCTCTCTTCCTGCATCTCCTCTTTCCTATTCCCCCCACACGCCCCCCCTCCCCCGTTGCTCCCTGTTACCACTGCACCGTGCCTCATGCTGTACTCTATGCCACTGCAGTCCGGCCTATTTCTCACCTTGCAAGTTCCCTCTCGTCCACTATCCCCCTCCCCCCCCTCCTCCCCTCAGATCACGGTGTACGGTGCGTCGCCCACAGCGCCGTGCTACCGCTGCCTCTTCCCCTCACCGCCTCCCACCTCCGCCTGCCAGCGCTGCTCCGACAGCGGCGTGCTGGGCGCCGGTGAGTGGCGTGAGGGGCGCCGGTGAGTGATGGGCGCCGGTGAGTGATGGGCGCCGGTGAGTGATGGGCGCCGGTGAGTGATGGGCGCCGGTGAGTGAGGGGTGCAGGGATCGCGGTGTGTTTCTTCCTCTCCTGCAGTCTGAGATTATTTCAACTTATTTGGACAGCAATGCGCGAACCAAAGCCTCTCAAGCACTAGCTGTCTTGATGAGCTGGCTGTGAGTTGCCTGATGGCACGAGGGTCCGAGTCACTAGTAGGCGAGGTTGTGGTTGGGTTGGTTGGGCATGCATATGAGGAGTGGAGGTGTGCGGCGCATGTGCTGGTGGGGAGATGGGGGTGACATATGAGCAACGTGGAGCAGCACCACTGCCCCACTGGCCCCACACCCAGGAAGAGCCAATGTAAACTGCTCCCATGATTGGAGCCCTTGTGTGCATGCCATTGTGCGCACCCCTCTGCTTGCCCTGCCTGCTCCGCGTCTCTCTTCGTATTTCTCTCCCCACCTTTTTATCCTCATGGCTTCACTCTTGCTCCCATGCACGTCCCATCTCCCCGCGCCCATGCTCTCACCTGCTCGCGCGCGCATGGCAGTGCCGGGGGTGATAGGCGTGCTGCAGGCAGTGGAGGCGGTGAAGGTGGTGGCGGGGGTGGGCGCGCCCCTCTCAGCGCGCATGCTCGTCTACGACGCCCTCGCTGCCTCCTTCCTCAACGTCCGTTCGCCCCCTGCCCTTCCCACCCATGCATGCCCTTCCCACCCATGCATGCCCTGCCCACCCATGCATGCCCTGCCCACCCATGCATGCCCTGCCCACCCATGCATGCCCTGCCCACCCATGCATGCCCTTCCCACCCATGCATGCCCTGCCCACCCATGCATGCCCTGCCCACCCATGCTTGCCCTGCCCAACCATGCATGCCCCTTCCACCCATGCATGCCCTTCCCACCCATGCATGCACCTCCCACCCATGCATTCAATTCAACACCCATACAAAACACAAGCAAGGTTAAGTTCAATGTAGGCCTATTTCTTCCCTTGTACATGCATGCATGCATGCCGCATTGACATGCACGCGTCCCATGCTCTCATCACCATCCACCATGCCACCATGCCTGTGCCCACCCTGTCTACCTGCCCTCACACCGTGCGCCCTTCCCTCTGCCACCCGCTGCTGCCGCTCTGCTCGCCTGTGCCCCCGGTGCGACCACCAGGTGAAGCTGCGCAGCAGGGTGGCGTCGTGTGTGGCGTGTGGGGAGGGCGCCACCATGACGGCGGACAGCATCAGCGCCTTGGACTACCAGGCCTTCACCTCCTCTCCCTTCCACGACCAGGTGCCTCCGTCCCTCCCGCTCCCCGCCTCCTTCCTTCTCCTCGCCTCACTCCTAAACCAAGCGCCAGGCATGGACGACCATAGTTGGGTGGTGGTCAAAGGTTTGGTGTGGGAGTTCCAAGGTTCAACTGCGATGTGAATGGGACCGGCTTAACTCAACCACTCATTCATTAAGTATATTCCACATCACATTCTCGCAACATGCACCATGTGCCATCCCATCCCATCCCATCCCATCTCATCCCATCCCATCCCATCCCATCCCATCCCATCCCATCCCATCCCATCCCATGGGATCCCGTGCATGCATGCCCTCTCCCATCAACCTGCATCTCCATCATCACCCTCGCACACACTCCACTCTCCCACTCTCTTCTTCGCCTCACCCCCTCCAACACCCCCTCCCACTCCCCTTCTCCCCCCCTTTTTCCCGTCCCTCCCTCCCTTGCCAACTCCAGGGCCCCAAGTCCCTCTCTCTCATCCCTCCCAGCCAACGAGTGCCGCCCACCGCTCTCCTCGCCGCCCGGCAGCAGCGCCGCCCGCACGTGCTGCTGGACGTGCGGCCGCCCCACCTCTTCTCCATCGCCCACCTGCCCGGCGCCATCAACACGCCCCTCGCCACTCTGCCGGCCGCCCTGGACGAGATCAAATCAGCCGCCCTGGCAGCTGCCACGTCAGCATCCTCCACAGCATCACAGCAGGCACCTGCAGCGCCCGGTGAGCAGGCAGCAGCAGCAGAGGAGCAGCAAGGAGGTGGGCGTGGGGGGGAGGGAGAGGGAGGGGTGGAGGTGGCGGTGTTTGTGGTGTGCCGGCGGGGCAACGACTCCCAGCGGGCGGTGGGCGTGCTGAGGGAGGCGGGAGTGGGGTCGGCTGTCAGTGTGGATGGCGGCATGCTCGCATGGGGGGCTCACATTGACCCCTCCTTCCCCTCCTTCTGATCTGCTGGACCGCGGAGTCACTGTTAAGTACCGTAACTTGATCTGACCGGACACAGCCCTAGGTGTGTAAGTAACGATGTATGTTTTGTAACCTATTGTGGACGGGCCTGCTCCAGTGTGAAATCAACTTCACTCAAGAATTGAATTGAGGAGAAGCACCTTGCAATTGCCTCTGACAGTGTCAGGGTCATGGGGCAGGATGCTTGCTGTATTTTATAATCATTCACAGCACAATACAAAATTTTATACACAATCAATGGCAGATTACGACCGTATTTGGTTGGCCGTGCACTAGTCAGACCCTCTTGGGAAATGGCGGGTTAAGTTAGATTAGATCCCCTTGTACACCCATTTTGTTAAACCTTTTTCTTTTTTTTCGAGGGGATGACGTGACAGCAAGAAACGCCCGGGGCTGGAATCGCGGCGATGAGGTACGATGACTGATTAGTGCACGCAGCAGGTGAGCAGCACAGAGAGGCCACGGCTCCTGCTTGCCTGCCTGCGCCTGTCCGAGCGCTGCCGCCTCAGCCGTGTGAGCCTCCCCCACCACCTCTCTGCCTTCCCCTCATTGCCCACAGCACCCGTGACAGCAGAACACGGGAAGGACTGCTGCGGCTGTGCCAGGCTGGGCGTGGGAGGTGGAGGAGGGGCAGTGCTGGGTGGTGCAATGGGGATGGGCGGCAGTGCAGGTGTGGCGGGCGTGGAGGGGGGAGTGGCCTCCCGTGGCGACCACTCTGCTGCTGCTGCTGCTGCTGCTGCTAGGCACACGGCAGCACCCGTGGCAGCACCCGTGGCAGCAGAGCCCATGGCAGGGCATGGGGCAAGAGAGTGTACAGCACAGCGTGGGGCAAGAGGCTCTGAGGCACAGCAGGCGTCAAGCGCAGAGAGGTGGAGGTAAGCAGAACCAGGCAGCAGGTCGTGAGCAGGGGTGAGCGCGTGGTGCGACGGGGAGAAAAACGAGGAGCCGCTAGTGCGGGCAGTGCTGTGGGGCACGTGAAGGTGTGTGTGTGGGGAGTGGGCGGCGCTGCTCAGGTTCCAACTGCTGTGCTCGCAGCACCCCTGGTACTCCCACATCCACCCGTCCGCACCGTCCCCGCCACTCCCAGGGGCAGCAGCAACAGCGGACGCACAGGAGTGGAGGCGGCGAGAGGAGGTGAGTGCGGCAGCGGTGGCTTGGCTCCCCCCGGCGCCACTAACTGCACGCCACGCGCTCACATCTGCGCTGCCGCCCGTCTCTTCTCCTCCTGCCAACAGGGCTGCTCCGGCCGTTTGGGAGCGCCTAAGCTTGCCATGCTCCGATGGTGTCCTTCTCGCGCCCTCCCTTTCCACCGCGCTACACCCACGCGCACCCTGCCCCCCACCTGCGCTAACACCAGCAGCAGCGGCCCTGCTCGCCGACTCGTATGCACCGCCTGTGGCGCTCGCTGCAGCAGCGCCACCGCGGCGCGAAGGCGAGTGTGTGTGACACGACTCTGCTGCCTCTCGCCAACTGTGAGTGGGGCTGCACAGCCCGTTCAGAGAGCTTCTTGCTTGTGCGTCACCGTGTGCGGTTTTGCCGCCCCACAGCGCTGCTGTAGCCGATGCTGCTGCGGCCAGCAGTGGCTGCGAGTGGGTCAAAGCGCCGCCTGCTGCTGCGCCCCACGCTGGGACCCGCGCGAAGCTCTCCGGGGCGCGCACGGGGAGCGCAGCGGAGTGGTTCGGCTGGGCGGCCGCGCCGTTCCACCGGCGCTGCTGCATCACGCGCTGCTGCCACGCGTCGTGCCGTTCAGCTTCGCATCGCTCCATCAGCTCGCGCACACTCGAGCTCGCCAGCGCGGCGCGTGAGTCGGCGCACACGGGGAGTGGCGAGAGGAGCGCGAAGGGCGAAGGGCGATGCGCGGCGACGAGGTCGGAGGCGAAGAAGGACGGGCTGCTGCTTCCCAGCGGGCCGTCCGCCCAGCTGAACGCGCCGTGCGGGTCGTCCACGCAGCTCATTCCGCCGTGCGGGGAAACAATGATAGGTTTACGGTGCGCGACTTCCGAACGAGGAAACGCAGGTCATTCCTTTCTGCAAGCATTATAAGCCTATCAGTGGCGCTCCTCACTAAATAGGCTTCAGTACTTTTCACGTTGTCCTTCTCCATGCCGCAGTGGCGACGGTTCTCGTGAATCGCACAGCGAAAGGGCGCGCGGCATGGCTGAACGATGTGGCTGAGAAGGTGGACCTCAGGCACCAGCCTTGGTGGCTCGCGAGTCAACTCTCACGGAGAGCGTGGCGAGGAAAGGCTACTGCTTGATGGACGCCTGATGCTGCGCAATAGATCGACGAAATGATGATGAACTTGCGGCCGTTGAGAAATCGGAACATTCGCGGTCCCCGTGCTCGCACCTGATGGCTCATCGCGCGCTCGATTCTGTGCCATTGGCGAACCAGACGCGCGATTTCGATCCTGACGGAATATTGTGATCGGGTGTCAAATCACTCACGCAGGGCAAGCGGCGTTCACCTCTCGTGCAGGACGCACAGCACTGGAGTCACCGCCTGCGGTAGTCAATGACTCATGCGTCCCAATCATTACGTCATTGCGCTTGACATAAGGACTTCAGGAAAACGCCCGCTTGTGGTGAATGCTGGAGCAGAACGAGCACATTCTAGGAGCATCCCAGATGATGCGGAATCTAGCCTGAAAATTTCTTGGATCTTCTAGGCTTTTCAAGGAAGAACAGAACCGTCTGGTTTGTGCAGTAATTACGCGTTTGGTTTGCGCTTTTCGCCTTGAAAACGTTCCACGTTCTCAGTCTTCGAATGTGCGACGGCCAAAGTGAGGTACTTCACTCGACAATGTTCGAAGTGTAGCAGGGTACCAGAACAGTCCGCGTCGCATGGCTGATCGCCAGCAATTGCAGAAATCAGGTCACAGTTCGTGGCCGAGATTGGGACATGATGATAGAATTGATTTTTTATTTAACCGGGAACCAGGTGCAACAAGTCCTTGACTCCATGCCTCGGATTTCCTCAAGCCTAGTTCCACCTCATTCGATTCTCGAGTAGGTCATCGCATCGTCGACTCATGGCCATGCGATTGGGTGTTGGATTTCGTTGGGAAGGCCCCAACGGGCAGAGTGAGAATGGCGGTGGAATAGACGGCGGGGACACTGACGGTTCAGATTTGCTCATTCCTGAGCGGGAAGCAGGATGGGAAACTCTAAATAGTACTATATGTTGGAAAGTTACTAAATGTGCAAAAGAAATAATATGAGAAGTAGGTTGGCGAAAGTCAGAAACCTGAAACAACCTGCAGAGTAGAATGTTCCGAGCAAGTGGTGGGATCACTCTAAATTGGGAACGAAATTCCCATATGCTCAATATTCATGAAAAATTCTAGACTAATACTCTATTACAATCCCAAGTGGGACTTGGCGAATGATCGTTCAGGGTTGATCGCAGAGTGATGTTGCAGCGGAAAAGTTGACCTCAGATCAGAGTGGATGTAAATGAATGAGATGATAATAGCATGCATACATCGAGTTTATATAGGGAATACAAAAGAATGCGAAACGACCTACACTAGCCACGTACTCTAAGGGGTACATTCCCTTATTACAGCGAAGTTCAAACCGTGCGGCGCGGGAATCCGTTTCAACCTTGTTCACGTTCTTTTCACTTCAAATGTTTTTGCCTGCGTCGGTCTTGGTCAGACGATTGCTGGTGTCGCTTCGACTCTTCTGACTCATCGACTTCGTACTCGGTAGAGTCGGCTCCTGCAGCGTACAGGAATGTATTCTCATTGAATTTCATATCGTAACACCCCCCTTCATTCCTGGGCGCGCAGAGGGCTGACTCACTTGACTACTCCCTTGAGGCCAGAGTAGAGTTTGTACTGCTGACGTGGCAGTCGCTTGGTGAGAAAGTCGGCTGCCATCTCGGTGGTGGGGCAGTACGCAAGGTCAACTTTCCCCTGGTCAATTTCATCATTGACGAAAAAAGTATCGAAGCGCGATGTGCTTCGTGCGGTTCACATACCATGACTTGTTTGCGATCTTGATGGCGCTCTGGTTGTCGCAGTGAAGGCGAAAGGTGGGCGAAGTTGGAATTTTCGTTTCTAGTAGCAATTCGTGCAGGTACAGGCCTTCGCGAACTGCAGCTATCGCGGCGATGTACTATGCTTCGGCCGATGGCAGGGCAACCAGCTCCTGCTTCTATGAGTTCCAGGAGATTGGTCCTGTTGGCTCCAGGTGAAAAACGAAGCCGGTTCGTGACCGTCAATTCGCAGGATCAGCGACATGATCTGTGTCCATGTAGCCGTTGAGGTTGAAGGAGGTTGTTGTCAGCGTGGAGTAGGAGAGCCCGATGTCAAGTGTGGAGATGAGGTACTGCAGGGCGCGCTCCAGGTCCAGCTGATTCTTGGCTACTGGCTTGCGAGAGTACTGTGCTAGTTGGCTGTACGAAAGGTCGGGTCGGCAAGTGACAGAGGCAAACAATAGGCACCCCAATTTCTGCTGGTACAGTTGGGGTCATGTGGGTGACAGAGGTTTGTTGTCCGGTTTGTAATTGGCGCTGGGGTTGCGATAGGGAGTTGAGAGTGGTGCAGGCGAGATGTTGAAACGTCCCCCCAGCTGCTCTGCGTACTTTGAGGCTGACAGATGAATTGCTTCTGGCGCGTAGGTGATGTTTAGCCCCAAGAACTACATGATGTTGTGGTTGATGGTGATGTCAACGCGCTGCGCCAGGTATGAGGTACTGCAGGGCGCGCTCCAGGTCCAGCTGATTCTTGGCTACTGGCTTGCGAGAGTACTGTGCTATTTGACTGTACGAAAGGTCGGGTCGGCAAGTGACAGAGGCAAACAATAGGCACCCCAATTTCTGCTGGTACAGTTGGGGTCATGTGGGTGACAGAGGTTTGTTGTCCGGTTTGTAATTGGCGCTGGGGTTGCGATAGGGAGTTGAGAGTGGTGCAGGCGAGATGTTGAAACGTCCCCCCAGCTGCTCTGCGTACTTTGAGGCTGACAGATGAATTGCTTCTGGCGCGTAGGTGATGTTTAGCCCCAAGAACTACATGATGTTGTGGTTGATGGTGATGTCAACGCGCTGCGCCAGGTTCTCCTCAAACTGATTAAGGAGTTTGTTGCAGGTGCCGGTGTACAGCAAGTCGTCGATGTAGACTGTCAGGAGAATGTAATCGCCGTTGAAGTGAAGGCGGTACATTCACGGGACGTGCAGTAGCAACCTGCAGCCGATGTCCAGAAGGATCTTATGCAGGTGCTGTTGCCAGAGGCGCGACACCTGTTTTATCCCGTAGAGAGATTTCTTCAGCTGGCAGACCCTGGGGTCTCCTTCCCCGTAGGTGTGTGGCTGTTCTACGAAGATTGTCGCGTCGACCAACGCATATAGGAATGCGTTTTTTTACGTCGATCTGCTGCAATGGTAGATGCTTAGCGGCAGCAATGGCGAGTAGGATCCTTACAGAGGTATGGCGGCTGACGGGGGCGAAGGTCTGGTCGAAGTCGATGCCGTGACGCTGGTCGTAGCCTCGTATAGCCAAGCGTACCTTGAAGTGCTCGATAGTTCCATCAACGTTGGTTTTCAGGCAAAAAACCCACTTTCCGCTTAGCCCCCTCCTCCCCTTCACTGCTACACAATCGACTAGGACCCACGTATCGCGTGACTCCAGCGCTTTTAGCTTCGCGTCCATAGTAGCACGCCACTCCTTGGCGTGAGGACCTGTTAGGGCCTGGCATGTATTCTTGGGTTCGACGGTGCACGTGAGGGTAGTGACTGCCGTGTGTAGGCCGAGGAGCAGTAGGCCAGTGACATTGGGGGCGCCTGTGGCGTCTGTGGTGGTGACCTCCACCACATCGTCATCGTCACTCTCATGGGCAAGTGAGGAATTGCTGGGCTGAGCGTGGTGGCGTGATTGTCCTGGCGCGGGAGTATCGTCGCCGTCATCATCGTCGTTGTCGTCGTCGCGCGGGCGAGGCGGTACGCCGGGATGTTCGTCGGCGGGGTCGCGGTCGAGTGCTGTTGCTGCTGCCTCGTCTTTCGGAGATGCAAAGCTGCGGCCGTTGTTGGAGTAGGCGCGTGCGACGTTGCGGCGCTGGTCCTCGACCCACTGCTGCAGGGTGAGTCGCTTGTAGAAGAGGATGTCACTCGCAGGGATGGTCTTTTTGGTGTCGATGTCAAGAATTAGCCAGCCCTGGTATTCGTGACTGAGTTCCAGGTGGACTCCCCAGCGTGCGCGATGAGTAAACTTGCCGGTGGTAGCCGAAGTCGGCCGATACTGCACCATACACCCCCAAACCCTTAGCATGGAGGTATCTCCCCTTGATCCGGTCATCGTCATGTACGGGGAAAGGTTGCCCCTGTTAGCCGTGGTAGGGAGGAGGTTGTGCATGCGCACGGCGTGGTTCATGGCGTACGGCCAATACTTCTTGGGTAGGCCGGACTGGTTCATGAGGGCGGGCACTTTTCTCATGAGAGTCCGGTTGACCCTCTCAGCGACACCTTGCTGCTGGTGAGCGTAGGGGAGAGAGATCTGATGCTTGATCCCCTCGTTGCTGCGAAACTCCTTGGCACCGTCAGTCTGCCAATTTTTCTGCTTCTTCCCTGATTGTCGTTGCGCGTGTGCGAGCCAGATGCGGAAGATATCGGGAGCCTTGGAGCGGACATCGACGCTGGCGATTCAGACGTAGCGTGAGTACGTGTCTACGAAGGTGAGCGTGGTGTTTTCGCCGTTGATGCCTTCGAAGGTGAGCACGATGAAGTCAATGTAGACCTTCTGCAGCTTCTTGTAGCTATTGGTGCTCGGCTCCAGTGAGGGGTAGGCTTGGTGCATGAGGGCAGCTGTGGGGCAGATGGTGCAGGTGGTTGGGTGTGAAGCGCTGAGGGGTTCGGTGCCATCGGGACGGCGTAGTGCTCATGGGAGAAAAACTTTGGCGCGGAGGCAGTTGTTGAATGTCTTGAGCGAGGGGTGTTCAAGTCGCTGGTGCCAGAGGTCATCTCTTTGCGCGGATTTCAGGAGTGCGCAGGTAACGTGCGTGGTACTCCGCCGCCTCTGCTTTTGTCTCGTGGGGAATTAGAAGCACTGGTCCTTCTTCTTCTCCTGGTTCTGCTTCGTTGTCGTGCTCCTCTGCTTCTGGTTCTGTTGCTGTCTCCCCTTCTTCAGGTGCCGTTGTGAGGTAGAGCGCGAGGAAGTTGCGGTCGGGAATGGTGTTGAGCGGAGTCCTGGTGCCCTCGATGAGGCGGGCGAACGGATCTGGGCAGGAGATTGGTCCAAGCGAGTCGCGGGGTGGAGTTGGTAGTACGTTCCCCTCCTCAATCTCCGATCAGGGTCTCCTCAATCTCCGATAAGGTGAGCTGAGAGGTGATGTAAGAGTGCAAGGGCGTCGTCCGAGTGGAATTGTGACTCTTGGGGGAGGTCGTTCG